CGCTGGTGAAGAAGGCGATGCCAATGGCATGCAGACACAGCATCCACGCCCAGAACGCGACAGTCCACCACCATCTACGCTCGTAGGCAGCTTTGCGCCGGCCTTCAAACACCTCGCGCTGCCTTTCGAGAAGTATTGCTCGCTCCTTTTCCGCCTTGATCTCCTCGGGTGATCTGCTAGCCTCCTCAATCTCTTTTTGGCGCTTCAATTTGGCGAATTGCTCGGCGATTGCTTTGTAGTCGGCGGGCGGCGGGCCCTTCGGCTTGGGGGATTTTTGAGGCATTGTAGCTTGTCTGGGCTGGTTGAGTGGTTCCAAAAAAAACAAAAAAAAAGAGGAAAAGAAAAGGTGTAAAATATTAAGGCTGCCACTTGATGGCCATTGGGTTAAGGAAGCTGTCAAGCCCCTGCTCTGGAGTCGTGTTCGTGTATTGTGGCTGCTTTGCGGATCGCAGCGTGTAGGAGAGACGGTTTCGAACTGGCGAAAGGAGCTCAAATTTGGAAAGTCCACCAAGTTCCGGCAGCAGCCGTAGGTAGCGCCGCGGGCCCAGCTCAGCTTTGGTGGGGCAGAGTCGCAGACGAACATGATTCAGGGGCCAAGGATCCTGCACCTTTTGGTGCCGGCAACCCCTGGGCCACTAACGGAGCTTGGATTGGGACGGGTATGTCATCACGGATGTTGCACACATGTAGAATAAGTGCCGGTACGTGCTTCTTGGAGCTTCTGCTTTTCAGACATGATAATTAGGGATCTTCATTTTGGAAACTCGAATTTTCATAGTTATCACATAATGCGTTATTCCAATACTGGATTCCAAAACCACACGAAACTGAACACAGGGCCTGATACACAAGAAGCAGAGACGTCTACCTTCGATCTCGATCATCTCACCCATCAGCCGAAACTAGACAACTGCGTGAGTAACAGCTGACACAAAAAAGACCACCTTATTCAGCTGTCAGCACGGTACTGCCAAACTTGCCAGCAGGTATGTTGAGCTTGAAAAGCTCATCCATCTCAGCCTGGGTTCTGTTCCGAACTTCGGGCAGATAAAAGTAGGCCCAGACCCAGAAGACGGTATTGATACCAGCGTACACAAGCGCTGTGCGAGGTCCAAGACCCCATCCGTTAGGGGGGCTCTCCAGCATCCTTGGCAAAAGCCACATGTTGAACTGTCCCGCGATGAGATAGGCTACTCGGCCAATGACAAGTGTCTTGGCTTTTTGTCGGGTCGAAGGAATCTCGGGGTTGATAGCGTACACGAGGGGTCCAATGGAAAGATTATAGACTCCTGTGAAGACCACGAGCATAACTGCCATGATCCAAGGAATTGCCTTGTGCAAATCGCTGAAGAACCCTAGCACGCCGACACCTGCCGTGAGAATGATGGAGCCCATTAGCCCCCAGAGCCAGATGGTTCTGCGTCCGACGTAGTTCATCAGGGGCCAAGAAAATATGATGCAGATGATGCCGATTGCGTACTGAACCAGCGTAAAGTCGTATGATTGGGAGGCTTCTATACCCGCCTTCTGGTATACCTTGGCCGAGTAAAACATGAGGGCCGAACCGCAGAGCTGTTGTGTCAAGTTTAGGGTGACGACAATCATGGTCCGGCGAAGGTTGATGCCGCGGAAGCACTCGAGGTATGTGATGTTGGAAGCTTCCTGGCTGTTCTTCTCCTGATCATTGGTGAGCTCGAGAACCTTGACCTGACCGTCAACTGGATACGTCGGGTCTTTGTTGAGTTTGGCAAGGGAGTTGCGTGCGAGGTCGGAACGAGACTGGCGCATAAGCCACCAAGGTGATTCGGGGGCAAGGAAGACGCAGAGGAGAACAGGAAGGGGCCATATCCATTGGATGCCGACGGGGACGCGATATGCCATGAGGTCGTTGGATTCGATCTTCTGAACCCCCTTGATCGCCGCCGTTGAGAAAAGCTGGCCGAAAATCCAGCACATGGAGACGAAGGTGGTGAGCGTCGGACGAAGCTTGAGGGGCGAGATATCTGAAGCGTAAGGTAAAACGCAAGCCTGGAAAACTCCCCAAGGAAGTCCCAACAGGAACTCGCCGGTGAAGATCATGCCGAGACCAGCATTGTAGCCTCCCGTAGGCAAGACCGCCGGCGCGAAGAAGTTGACGAGAAGCAGGATCATGATTGATCCGAGAGAAAACATCATCGTCTTTCGGTACCCGAACCTTTCCATGGATAGACCGGCAAAATACATAGCCGCGACCTGGCCGGCCTGGCTTGAAGTAAGGATCAAGGACTGCCAAAGTGCTGGAATCTCCTTGAAGGCTTTCCCTTGCGGAACGTAACCGAAGAGATTCTTGAACTGGTCCAAGGAGAAAAAGTTGCCTATGAGAGCGAGCTCGTATCCCTCGCCGACGATGGTCATGGCGAAGAAGATGGACCATTTGACCGCGGGGAAGTACTTGTTGACTGTCTGCATGTAATTGTGATGCTCTTCATAGTCTCTGGCAGCCTTGGCCTCCGGGTTAGAGGCAATCGTATCGGGAATCTCCTTATCCTGTACTTCTTGCACAGAGGACATGGGCTTTTCGTGTATAGAAGACATGGTGAAGTGGGTAATTGATGGAATACTGATGAAGCTGTGTTGTGAACATAGATCAGAAGAGATGCTCAATCCAGAATATGTTGAACGAAACAACGTTGTCTGGGGGGAAAGGAAAGGTCCGAGGAGATGTACGTAGGATGGCAAAGGAAGAAAAGGAAAAGGAAGAGAGGAGACAGGTGGAATGAACTGCAGGTGTTCAAAACCCATAGTTGTTGCTACCCTCTGAGGTCGAAGCGGTCCATGGCAGCTCCTTCTCCATCATACGACAGAAAGAAGCCTTCGTGGCGCGACCATTACTATGGTGAACTCTAAATAGGGAGATCACGACTGTGATCATTGATATCCACGGGAAGGCGCCACATGCATTGAGACCCGGATGACTTCTACCAACCTCCAAGGTTGCTTGGCTGCGTGAATCATGGTGTCCAAGGGGAATCCCCAGACGGATGCAGCGAAGCCCCGTGGGGTTACCACCTTTCCATCACGGTTTTGTCGGCCTCCGGGATTCTCATTTGATGGAACACAGACCTACATACCATACTTTAGAAATATTGGGCGTTTCCACCTCCCCACTACAGACCGACGCTTAGGTCAAAACCACCTTCACGAGGTAAGGTACTGCGGGCATCATCAATGCTGTATCACGGCGTGATTTCGGCCTTACTGGTCATAGGAATAGTCCGAGTAGGATGCGGTTTTCAAGGTATCCTACTGGGAAGCAATGTACAACCGGTCCGGCAAAGTGGTACTCTAGCATTGTGCTCCGAATCCATGATGGTAAATGGAACCCAGTGGGCTAATCTTAGTAGGCGCAACCAATACGACGGGCAACCCACGTTACCTTATGGACATCTTCTCGTGAGCATGAATAACATGTTTGGGTGGTCTATTTATCCATGGACAAAATAATCAACTCTGCCACAACCTGAAACAGGCAACAGCCTCTCACCAACCCGCTTCAGATTCTTCATCGTCGTGAGTCACCGCTCCGATGTCTCGAGCTGTAATAATCCCGATCTCTATCCCTATCCCTTTCCCTCTCCCTGTCACGGTGCGAACCCCCGTGCCTATCCCGATCCCGGTCCCTATCCCGCTCACGATCCCTCTCGTCCCTATAGCTCTCGCCCCTCCGCTCCTTGCGCTCGCTGCGCTTCTTCTCCTCCTCGCGGCGGTACTCGTCCAGCCTCGGCCGGCTGCTCTTCTTCTTTCCGCCGTGGTTCCACTGCCCCAGGTCCTCCGCGCCCTCCAGCTTCTTGGCCCCGAGGCCGAGCTGGTTTTGCCGCCTCTCGGTCGGCTGCTTCTTCTTGGGCCCGCGCATCTTGCCGTCCCAGCCCATGCCGCGCAGCAGCGCGGCGCCGAACTCGCCGTCCGGTATCGCATCGTAGTCTGCGAGCGTCGCGTCTTGGCCCACGCGTTTGATGTCGGAGAGGTATGCGTCCTGTTCCGTGGCTTGAATGACAACGTCCTCTTCTTCCTGGCGCTTGTTACCAAGCAAGGCGTCCATCGCGTCTTCGTCTGCTGTCCGAGGTGCCCGTTTCTCCTTTGGTGAACGATCGCCCTGGCCGTCGTTGTTTACCGTTTCGCCCTGGTTTGTTGGTGTGGCATCCCCTTCGCTCGTCTTGCGCTTCTTGACAGTCAAACCCCATTGTATCTCCCTGCCGGCATCGGCAGGCTCTCTTTCTGCCTCTTGCTGTGCACCATTCTGTTCTTGCTCTCGTTGTGCCTGCACCTCCGCGGGCAGCAAATTCTTGCCTCCCCTGCGCCCGCGCAACTCGGCCTTCCAGTCGCGGTTGCTTTGCTTACCAATCACCAGCTCGCGGGGCTTCTTCTCTCGTTTCCGGTCAGAGTCCCCGCCGATTTCTGTGATTACTTCGTGTCGTCCGCGACCATGATCGCGGTCGCCTTCCGAGTCCGAGTCAAAGTTGTTTAGCGCATTCGTCCGCGACCGCTTGCCTAGCGATGATGGTGGGTCTGGGCGTGAAGGTTTCTTGTTGTTTTTCGAGCTCGAGGAGTTGCCGAAGCTAATCGCTATCCTCGGGGCTTTGGAGCCGTCTGACATGGTGCTGGCGTCGACGGGGGTGTGTCGTGGTCTGTTGTTGAAAAAGATTGAAATTTGGTGATTGTAGCCTGGCACGCTGGTTCACACGAACCAGTGGTCGGTCAACCTTGCGACGTCAACTTGCAGGGATTAGAATTTGGGGGTCTTATGTAAGGTGGGGCACATTGTCTATAGGTACGGCAGCTCGGGCAATCGCAACACAGCTATCCGAATGCAGTAGCTCTTATCTACGGAACCCAACACCTTAGGATCTGAAAACGCATCTATGTCGACTTCTTCTGTTGCTTATTAACATGCAAAGCGCCGCTTTCCCCACGCAATGTTATTTTTCATTCGTTTAGGCAGATTTCCTTCAAGCTTGACACGCTTAGAAAGCAAAGATCTGGTCCTCGAGCTTGCTCACGGGGCGGGCCTTCTTGAAGCCAAGGCTCTCAGCCGTCTTCTTCAGTCCGCTGACCATGGGCGGGGGCCCGCAAAGCAGAAGCTTGACGTCGTCGGCAGCCTTGGGAAGAAGCTTCTACAATGTGTGTTAGCTCTGTACGGCGTACACGATCTGCAGGAAAGACTTACGGTAATCATGTCGCCCGTGACGTAACCAACACCGCCGGTCCAGTCCGCAGGGGGCTTGTCAAGAACGTAGTGCACGCGGAAGCCAGCGTCTTCCTTGGCGAGGGCATCCAGATCCTCCTTCAGCAGGATATCCTGAGGGGTGACGTTGGCGAAGATGAGGTCAATCTCGGTCTTGTCACCTGTGGGGCGGCCACGAATGACAGCGCGGACGATCTGAAGCATGGGAGTGATACCAGTACCGCCGGCAATCATACCAAAGTGACGGACCATGTTCGGGGTGTAGACGAAGGCGCCCTTGGGACCCTTGACCTTGAGCGTCTGTCCGACCTTCATCGACGCCATGTACTTGGAGATGTTACCGGTGGGATAGGACTTGATCAGGAGGTCGAAGTAGCCAGGCTGGTGGTCGCCGGAGATGGGAGTGTAGGAGCGCACAATCTCCTTGGTGGTGCCATCGGGCTGGGGGCAGTTGGCACCGATGGAGATGTGCTGGCCGATGGGGAGGCCGAGGATGCTCTTCTCGCTGGGGAGGTTGAAGCGGTAGCTTCGGACGCTTGTCAGCTGGAAACGCCGGGCTCGAAGCTTAGGGAGTGCGACTTACATGGCGACATTGTGCGAGATGATGGTCTTCTCCTTGAGCTCAAAGTCCTGGAAGGCATCGGGCTTGAGGACCTTCTTGATCTCTGCATGAGGGGGTTCGTCAGTGGGCAATTCCGAGGTATTCCGAGAGGGGCCGAACTCACGCATTGCGTTGAACTTGTAGGCTGCCAGGGCGAGCGCCAGGGCAACAGCGTACGGCGTCCATTCGCGCTTGGTGATGAAGCATCCGAAGACGATCAGGCCAGCGGGAATGTAGATGTTGTCAAAATATCTGCGGGTAGTGAATTCGGACATTTTGAAGACGGTGTCCGAGGACTTTTTCTCCACAGAAAGCGGGATAGGACGTGTAGCTGGGAGCTTGCTAGCTCTTCGTTCCGGGTCTGGAGAAATCTGGAAAAATTGCCAAAAAAAAAGGTTTCAGGTCAGTTGATGTCATAGGGCACGATAGGAAGCATGAGGTACTCACTCGGCAACCGCGAAGCTGGGGTTGGGAAAGCTGTCGCAGTCAATTAATGACGGGATGACGATTTCGAGCTAGAAGTGCGAGCGTGCAACCAGATATCGTAAGATCGCGAAAGTGGGACAGCCCCTCCAATTTTCTGTTGAGTTGGGTTGCCGAGTTTCTGCCAGCCCTCGAACGGCGAGCGGTCAAGTGCAGCTTTGTGGTTGCGAGTGCGTTCGGTATGCGGAGGCCAGGGGCGGGAACGTGAAAGCGAGCCCAATCCGGCAAAATAATCCGGCGGCAGATGCAGCAAGGTCCCGACCTCGGGCTCGGTTTGCTGGGGCATTTAGGTTTGATGCGTGGTCGGTTGGTCGGTCGGAATGTCGGTTCTACAGGTTCCAATGTGGCTTGAGGATATTGTGGCTTGGCATGCGGCTGACAAGACTCTCCAGCCACAACGCCACGATACGTTGAAGATGCGCCTCTTGCCAATGATCAACATGTTGATCAACCAGCTGACAGAGCTGAGCTGCAGGAGTCCTCTTGCTTTAGCTCAGTGAGTATGAATAGTTGCGCTTGTACCTAAGGTCGGTGTATCTGACTCATGAATCCTCCCAAACATTGGTGCCAGTCAATCAAAGTCTGGGCACAGATGATTATGATCAACCGCAGTCTCTCGTCGCTTCACCATCTCCAAATCAGAAAGACGCCTATTGCAACGTCATTGCCGACGGGCGAATGGTTGGCATCATGTTCGCTTTCTATCGAATGACAATCATACGCAGGATTCATTTCAAAATTTAATGTCCCAACCGCCGCTTAATGATAAGGGAAAGCCCTCGTATGGTTCGTTGTACTGACACTTACTAGGCAGAGGCTTCGGCAACTTCGGGACGCATGTCACCGACAAGCCATCCCCAAAAAATCAATTTAACAAAGAAGGGGTTGGGGAGCGCGGCAGGAGCAGCAGTTACTGAGCAGTCACCATGCGCGGGAGCTTGCACAGCTAATAACTGCTAGTTTCGGTTCAAAACTTCAATGCGCCTTTTGGCTTGTTCCTACCTACCGCGAAGGAAAATGAGTAGTCCGTTAATTTGCTAGTCGTCCTGACAGCGCGTCAACTACGTTATCTTCGCCGATTTGACAGATCGAATAATCTGAAGACATCGGTGAAGAACATGACATCACTACACGCTGGCGGCAGCGTGGCAGTGAGACGAAGGATGTGGAATGAAGCACTAGTTGGACTGGCAGATATGTATCCGTACTCAGGTCTCGTCTTGGTGGCCGTGTACGGGTACGGATACACGCCCCCGGCGACTGGGACAATCTGGAATGCTGTCTCTAAAGTACTTCGTACAGCTTTGGTCGTAGACTGGTGAGGGGAAATTCCGGGGAAAGATTCACTGATCGACCGGAAGCAAACTCGAATCATTTTGATTTGATCTCTGGTGCAAGGCCGGAAAGTGGGATTTCTTCGCCTCATCGTACGCAAGTATGATAACGCGTCCCTACCCCAGATGCAATCGTTTTTTGTCTGGATGAACCCTTGGATGCGGGCATATCGATGTCGCGGAATTTTTTTGATTACCTTGGGAGGGGCTTTCTCTCAGCAGTACCGGTAGCGTCATAGGAACAGAGCAACATACGAATAGAGTGCGTGGGATGGGAAAAGAAATGGGATACTTGGGCCGATCACGGTGGTTGATAGCTGGAAAGTGAGACGGGCCGAACTGTCGAACGGGTGCCGGCCTTTCCCGCTTTTTGGTACTAAGTCGGTCCCCAGGCACCCGTCGGACTGTATGCGGGAGGTCCGTGCAAGATGATTCAAGAATCAAAGGAGAGAAAGGCTTGAGCAGAGGGAAAAAATAACGTGCCCTCCGTGTTGCGGTGTCACGCTTGTGTCGCGCGCGACTCGCTCGTTGAGTCCATAGAAAGTCTGAGTGACTGAGCAAAGAGCGCGCGCGAGCCTGTCGCGTGGTCAAACCCCCCGAGAGGGCCATGATATCCGCAAAGATAGGTATTGCAAATTGCGGCCGAAAGCAAGGATATATATGGATAGATGGAGAAACTTGGATTGTGATTGAGTACGGAGTATAGAACCCGTGTCCAGGGCAACTGTGCCTGCAGAGCTGCACAACTCCGGCTCATTTCCAGGAAATACGTATACCTTTATTCGCCTCACTGATGTTATAAGGGCCCCTTCTCCAGGACTCATAGTGGATTTGCGGTTTGATGATAATGATGATGATGATGCTGATGATGGGATTGCGTTCGCGAGTGGCGCACAGATTGTGCGGCAGTGGCTTTTCGATGGTGGTCCCCCCTTCCCATAACATTTGTACCTGCTCCGTATGACCGCACCGAGAGAAGCAAACCGAACAAGCACAAGGTGCAGACACCACAGTGGCACAAATACATCAGGAACGCCCCTGTCCTGACGGCGATCAGAGACAAGTCGCAATCTTGACAAGTTGGGGCCCCCGCCCGCATCAAAGCCCGGTTATTCCTTGGATGTCCCCCCCAAATCTCAAGTCAACTCACCCCCAAAACTGGCGGGCGCGGGTTGGTTTCACAATTCTCAGCATCCGTGAAAAAAAAAAAAAATGAAAAAAAAATTAGGTGCGGTACAAAAACTGTCGGCCGGGTCGTTCAGACGATCGCCTTGCCGCCGAGTATCCCATTCATTCCTGGGAAATCTTTCGGGACGTATGGGCTTTTCAATCTTCAAGGGGGGGCGTGCTCGGGCGGAAATGTCTTGGTCCCGGCCGTCTTCACACACCTCTAATCGTTCCTCACCATCGTCTCTACTTCATCTGAAACCGGCCGCATGGCACGATGGTACCTTTTGAGCTTGACGCGGGCGGTCCAACAATTTAACTTAACCCCCAACTTCCTGATAACCAACATGTCCGACAAACAAAACCGCCGCAATGGTGGTGTACTTGGGTCGAAGGGGCCGAACGAATTTTCCAATTGTTTTCCCTCCCCGTTTCGTGCTCGCTCTCGGCAAGGTGAAGCGGTATGCCGCCCGTGTCTTGATTCCTTTCGCGATTTTCGCGAGAACGCCCAGCCTGTATGAACGGATATTCATAGTGCACTTACACAGCCATGGACAAAGTCACAAAATGAAGGGTCCCAAGACCACCTCCTCCAGGCTCCCCTCGTATCCGTATAAAACGGGGCTGACATGGCCAGGGGATTGACAGTCAGAATCCTCTCGGTTCATTTATCTTACCCCAAGTCCTTCTAGAAAGAAAAAAAAAAAGTCTATTCAAAGAACACGAGAAAGGGGAAACCCTTCCTCGATATTGCAGCTTTACGCGCACAAGACCCGCCCGGTCTTGAGATCCAAAGAGAAGAGGCCCAGAGTGGCAGAGGGTGCTGAGAAATCATTTCGGCGTGAAAAGAAGCCGCAGCCGGGAGCGAGGCGGCCGGAGCGCAACGAAGGGGGAGATTTGAAGCAATCTTGAGATATTTCAAGTCGCCGGGGCGCCCCCATTAAGCTGAATATTGAAAGTGGCTTGAAATGACCCTCGCTTTCGGCCTGACCGGCTCTAGCGCCGTCTCCACGGCGAGGAGAGGAGCCTCATGCTGTAGAAGAAAGTTTGAGAGAGTTGAGGCAAAAAAGAAAATGGAGAGAGGAGAGGAAATCGTAGCTAGTGAGGCATTAGGAAAATCAATCGATGATCATGATTAGAGAACCCTACCATAGGACCCTGGACGACAGGACAGGGTCCTCTGTTTCTCCAGACTGGCTGCAGTAAGAGCGAACTTGGAAGGCGAAGACAGGTATGGCTTGCAATACGCTTGGTCGAACTGAACATGCCAACGGAGCCATTCAGAGTTGCTAAAAGTTAATCCGCATCCATCTTCTTGGGCTTAGGTAACTCTTGGATGGCAGTGAACTTTGAAGAATGCGCGGCATCCACGGCGTCGGGCATCTGCGGCTACCGCAGTAGTGGAATCGGCGGTAGTGAACGAATAGATTCCGCGACCACGAAGACACCTGGATAGCACATCACGCTATGAGACGTAAGTCCCGAGGTGCCGGGAGCGACTACTCACGATAGCCCACCGCAGCTGAGCAAGTATTGGAGATGACGGGATGGGCTGTACAGTTTGTACTCCGTACCATGCCAAGTGATAGACTTGGTAAGCGTTGACGTGCTGGAGTTGCACCGCCATTCTGCGTACGCAGCCGCCGTCGACATACCAGCAGCGTAGCAACAGCACTGGTTGGCAGATGCGCGCGGCGGGCTTTTGGTGCAGGTGGATGCAAACTCATTTTCTCGTGTGGATTTGGGCGGGTTAATAGGACTTGGAAGTGAAGCTGCATCTGTCATGGCCGGCCTCACGGCATGTAACTGAGGCGAGGAGGCACAGCAACAAGGTGGCACTGGACGACTGGTACGCAACAGGGCCAGCGAGTGAGGAGTGCCGAGGAGTGCCGTACAGATGCGCCATGCGTGCCGCGATTCCATGGTAAAAATGCATGAGAGTGACGAGATGCACGCATTTTCCGGTGGCCTCGTCAGTGTGATTCTGGGTATTCTGGTGGTACCGACAAGGTCCATAATCTGCAAAGACCCCCCTCCCCCTTGGCAAGCTGGGACCACAGACCCATGGCACCATGATCCACGTAAAACGTGCATAATAGGGTGGATAAGAGTGGACTTTGGCGTATGTTTCGATGCTCGCGCGTGGATAAGAGTGGATTATGGATATGGTGAAGCGGCCTCTGGCCCTCTGAAGGTTCGTTCCTCGCAGACCAGACGTTCAGAGTTCTCCTCGTCTAGTGTTTTGTTTTGTGCGTTTTGTCTGTACATCAAACAGCGGCTGAGTGAGCTCCATCAACTTTGTTTTCAGCTGCCAGGAGTGGGCAGAACAACGTACCCATGTCAAGACGGAGGTGAACAAGTCGCAGGCGATGTGCTTGCGATAAAAAGGTCTGTGGTCATACTGTGGTGCCGGTAGTAGTAATAGGTACTCCGTAGTAGACTCTGGACTGTGTATCCGGAGGTATTCGAAGATGAAAATGCACAGATGGAAGATTGTACAAAGGTACTTCCTTGCTGAACTTTCCAGGTTGTCTACCTACGTGGTAGTGAGCTTGCAGGGGAAAAGGGCCGCACACAGCAGAAACCCCACTGCAGGGCCAAGGCTTCCCGCCGCGAGAAACGCCATTTCATTGGTGACGCGCCCTGCCTCTCTCCCTCTCTCTTTCCCATCTACGGAGCATGGATAGGGTATCTTTTCCAACGGAAAGTACTGTGTAAAAGCACCTGCCACGGGCCCACGCCCACGCCAACCAGGGCAACAGAAACCCCGCGCATGTCTCATTGGGCGACGCTTCCGGGGGCCAAAAACAGGATGTGCATCGATAACATCATAGCTGCATCAAGCTGCCAGTCCTTCACCTTTCCCCTATGGATACACGTACGGAGCACATGGCACTGGGCGACTGGGCAGTGGCACTCAGCACTGGCCTCTCTCTTTCTCTCTTTCATTTCATCAGATTCATCTTCCTCTCGCGTCTCCAACCCTCCTAGTTGAATGAACAAGTACCCTTTTCGTATCCATGCACCCCCCCTTCTCCCAATTCCTCTTGGTCACTTTGTCTATGTCTCTGCCTCTGCCTCTGCTGCGCAGCGTACGCATACCGTGAACACCGACTTTCTTGGTCCCTGAGGTCGTGTTTGTTCTCCAACATCTTATCCCGAATCCATCATTCCCATACCTGCCTGACAAACCCGGCGTTCTCATACTATATTCTACCATCACTCACCTCACCCTCGTCTTGAATCCGGCCGATGTACACGTGCCTACTCGCCCGACTCTTCATATCTCATCCCATCTTATCCTCCCCTTGCCCAACGAGTCCCTGATCTGACCGCACCTTGCCCGACTCGTGCTGCCTTGTCTCTCCCAGCGGCCAGGGTCAGGTCCTCTTCTTCCAAGACTCGGGACATCCATCCGCATCCACCCACCCTAATCATCCGAATTTCACCCTCGCTCGTTGCTACCACGCTATCCGTAGTAGACCCTACCGATACGCAGTAGTCTACTACGTACCAAGTACTGCCGCTGCCGCCGCCTCCAGTCTTTCTTCCCTTACCTTTCCCAGCAAGGTTCCTGGTTCTTGTCGGAGGCTTGCTGCACTCCGGTCCTTCCTCTAAACAGCTATTCCCTGCTCCCAGAACCTAGAGGCACCTCTCCCTCTCTAACCAGAGGATAAGGACCGTCACTTATTAACACCCCTCCGCCGTCCACTTTCTAGTACACACACTTTTTGATCCCCTCCTCTTCTGATACCTCTCCCACCTTCTCACAACCTCAAATCTCTACCATCTCGAACCCTCTATCTTTGCTTCGTTGTCTCGTCGACGAAGATATATCACCTTCTCTCCTTCCGCCGAAATCTCTTCTCACCTTCTTCCCACCGAGTGTAAACAGCAATCGCCACAGTATTGACTTGACACCGACAACTTGCCTTTGGACAACGTTACATGGCCCAATAATCGATTACTCGACCTTGACGGCCTCGAAGGCCTGATTTGGCCGAGGCACTCCCACGACGACGGAATAGGCTGGGCTTGGACCCCCGATTACTGCACGTCAATTCTGTCGACCATGGACGCTGCCGCGAACCGACGGTCAATGCTGCCTACCATTCAGACGACACATCATGGAGAGCCGCACACCACAAGTAAAAGCCCGGCCGCAGAGCTCCGCAGCGTCTCGACACCAGCTTTGGGCGGCAAGAGGCGTAGTTTTTTAGCAAAGACCTTCAGGAAGGTCAGCAGCAGTTCCTCCTCGACCGACCTCGCCTCCATGTCCGAGGAGGCCTCGAGTGGCCTCCATATGAAAAGTAAACGAGTTCTTCACAAGAACAACGGATCCGGCGGCTCAAATTCGTCCTCCATCTTCTATCGCCTCAACCGACGAGCTTCCAAGGATTCTTCCGCGAGCTCGCACATGTCCGAGGAGACACCCAACTATCTCAGCCCTCAGCCGCCAGCGCCGGTTCCTATCAAGATTCTCAAGCACGGTGCCTTGAAGACTGACAGCCGGTTGTGGAAATCGCGCGCCGAATATGTCGTCTTAACCGATGGGCACCTGATCAAGTTCAGCAGTGTCGAGTCAGCAAGGGCAAACTTTGCTGAACTTGCCCCGCCGTCTCAGCGCCTGAAGCGGTCTTCGACGTCTTCCACTTTGAGTCAGGATGGGTCACACTCCGATGGTCGGGTCGAAATTCCCCTGAGTAGGATCGTCAACATTTTCAACGAAGAGGGTGTGAGCCCTCACTTTGGTCTGGATGTCTGGTGGTCCGAGACTTCGCCAATGGTATCTTGGGCATGCACAAAACTGTTCTTTGGAATGCCTACTGAGCGAGACGATTGGATGTCGGAGATTCGCCGTGCTATTCGTGAGTCTGTGGGCTCAGCCGTTGTGCCAAAGGGACTCATCCCTCAGAACGTCGAGTCCGCCATTTACAACATCGTTGCTACACAAGAGCCCGCGTGCCGCGGCTGCCCACTGGATATCTTCCCAGTCGTCCAACGCACCACCCTTCTCAGTACGAAAGCCGAGAGCATTGAAAATGCCAAAAAATCTCGTGACGGATCATCGTATTACTTGCTCCTTGGTCAGAACAAGTGCTATCTTGTGCGAGTTGCTAGGACTTCCGTGTACAAAGCCCCTCAGGATATCGATATCAATACTGTAGTCTTCGGCTTGACATCTTTGGTCCGTTTGAAAGCGACTATGGTTCCTCACGAGGAGCGGTTTGTTCTTGGATTCCGGTAAGTGTCCGACGTGGTTTGCCGCGCCCGACAGTGTCACTAACCCCCTCTTCAAGACTGCCTTGTGAGAACGAAAAACGTCTTGAGCTTGCTAGTCGGTGGTACAGAGAGATCGTCATGACATTCATGAAGGCGGATCGCGCAGTGAAGCCTGCTTGGCCTCAGCACATGCAACGGCATATTTTCGACATCAGAGGCCTAACCGCTCAATTACTCCTCCCAACTGGTCAAGACTATGGTGGACTCAAGCGCACGCTTGAGGCGTACTGTGCGACGTTCCAGTGTAAGCCTCCTGAATGGACTGTGAATTGGAAGTGCGAACGCCGAGAGCACTGCCCAGAATTTCGACTCCTCCCTGCGAAGGAGGTGGGCGGATACACGGCACTCCAGCTTTTGGCTGTCTTCAAAGCCCTCCGCTTCAACGACTACTTCAAGGCTTTATCGTTCCGCGACGTCGATTTCTCGCCCCTTTGCGGGTTGACCGACGTTCCGGGTTGGGATGAGTCCGTGGCTGACGTTTCTCGCGATGGTAAGTCGGCAATTGGTTATCGTTTTCTAAGCATTCAAGCTGATCATGGTAGGACTTGTCATCGATCCCATGCATCGAGATATCATCAAGACTGCCCCACTGTTATCTCAGGAAATCCACGCCGTTGCCTTTACCTCTGGTTCTGTCCGTAAGATTGACTTGACCAACGTTCTGGCATCACGGAACATTGTCGGTGTTTCGCGCGCTCGTGCCGGTACCAAAAAGGACCCTGAGGTCGTTCGCCCTATCCTTTTGCTGCTCAAGACTCGCAGCACTCCTTGTGACACTTTGCTGGTTGGCGGTAACCCTCTGACGGCGGCTGAGGTTGACGATCTTGGTGAGTGGAGTTCATGGGTTCTCACAATCTCCTTAGCTAATAATATTCAGTGGGCGTTCTTCATATTCCCGATGTTCTCAAGGAGCTCGATATCTCCAGATGCAATCTTGATGAGAGAAGCTTAGAGGAGGTTTGGGATGCTCTTCCCGCCCAGGGATACAAGATGGAGGCTCTCAATACTTCTCGCAACATTGGACATGTGGACCACATGGCCGTCAAGCAGAACCTGGCTCATTTTTACTGCTTGCGAAAACTCGGCATTGCAGGAAATTGTCTCACTCAGGCGAAGGATACCATCTTCCTCGACGAGACTATCATGGGATGGGGTCTTGAGGAGCTGGATCTTTCAAACATCAACGTAAGTCAATTGAATTCAGCCCTCATGCAGTTGCTGATTCTGTCCTAGCTCAACGACGCCACATTGCAAGTGCTCGCAGACTACTTGAAGTCTTCACAAGCCGATTACCTTCGCAGGCTTGACCTCAACAACTGCGCAATGACCGGTACCCAAATCGCCACCCTATTCCGCAGCATGGGTGAAGCAAGAGTGATTACTTGCTCCATCAGCGGCAACTATCTTGAGAACGGCACGGAAGATTTGGTATCTGCAATTGTCGAAAACTTCGGACCGACGTCCCTTTTCATGGATATGGTCGAGTTCCAAAACGAAGAAAACTACATCAAGCTGATCAAAGCGCTCTCGCTCAACACCTCGATCCGGCTGCTAAGCCTGGTAGGAACTTCGACCCCTGGACAAGTCAGTGAGGACGCCTGCATGGCTGTCTCAGAGTTCTTTGCCACGAACAAGTCGGTCCAATACCTCGACTTTTCCGGATTCTCCGCCAAGCTCGACGAGGGTCAACTCGGCCTGGGTTTCTCGCGCTCTCTATCTGGACTTGCCGAGAACAAGACGCTACGTCACCTCCGAATCCGGAACCAGAAGTTGAACTTGAACATTGGTGATCTGGCACATGCGATCCAACTCAACCAGACCCTTACCACTCTCGATGTACAGGAGAATAACTTCAATCTGTCCAACTTGTCACACATGGTCAGATCTCTCGATCACAATAGCTCCATCCAGGAGTTCTGCCCATTTTCTCGGTGCGAGCTCAGCCGGGCCATCAAGTTCAGCGTTCAAAACGTCGGCATGCCAACGAGCCAGCCCACGTCGTCTCGAGCCCGCCGCGCGTCCAAAGTCCTCTCTAAGGCCACGTTTGACAACTTTGCCATGGAAATGGACAAGAACAACGCTCTTATGGAGAATTTGAAGGACGAGTGGAGTGTCAAGACTGCTCAGATTGAACGTCTTCTCGAGAGAAATCGAACCTTGAGTACTGAAAAGGAGATGGCGATTATGCAGTGGGATCCTCAAGTGGAAGGCCAGGAGGACTGGATCGCCCTTGAGCTCGGCAACGTCTTTGGAGGCCTAGCCATCAAGGCTATGAAGACCCGACGCAGGATTATGCAGCCTGGCTACCGTGGCAGTGTTTACTTTGGCGCAAGTACTCCGCCTCTAGAGGGGATGGAAGAGTTTGGTGCCCTGGCAGCTCCCCACCATGTCACTCGCGAGGAAGTCATGGAAAGCCCCGCGACAGAGGTTGCCAGCGGTTCCTCCGGCCTTCCCACCCCTCCCGAATGGGCTCCTACTGAGAGCCCTGTCAAAGAATACTCTATTGCGTCCAGCGCGCCACCGTCTCGTGATGCACCTCGCATTATCGATGAGAACGCGGACGAGTTCGACCTTTCTCTTCTCAAACATATGATACAGCATGGATTCAACCTCGACGATTCGACGCAAGGCCAGGACCAGGACGTCGGCAGGAAAGCGGGGCCCTCAGTGTCGACCACGAGACTCAGATGAATCAAGTACAAACACGAAACGAAGACCAAAAAACATTGAAAAAGAAGGAACGAAAGAAAAGCGAAACGAAAAAAACACGAAGGACACCAAGTCATGTGTCTCCCATACACTCTCCCACGTTTACCAAATCATTAGACATCAGCGACGGCAACATCCTTTTTTTGTTTTTTGTTTTGTTTAACAAGGCGTTCTTAAAAGGGAGGAACAGGTGTTTTCTCGGAATACCGCGCGGGATTGATACCCAGACTCGCAGGAAAACTCTAGTATTAGTATTTGATTCTAGTGCGTGGGCACGGTTGGCTTACTGTTTTGGTGTTGGAGGTTCCTCGCTCAGCATACTTGCTCTGGTTTGGATTTTGCCCAATGTAGGAATACTATCAGAGGATGGAGGATGGAATATGCTTTATTTGGAGGGCAGTCAGTTTCTCACCGATAATACATAATTGTGAGATTATTCAACATGGCTCGATCAAGTCTGCTTCGCTACGTGAGGACACCAGTATTTCCGCTTCTGACAATGGTGGTGTATGCGTTCACGGTGTGCATCGTCGACCCCGGATTCCGGGCGGCTGCATGCGGAGCCCACCCGGACCCGGACCCGGGCGTCGTTGACCATTGGCCGGCGGTGCGGGGAGGGCCGGCCGCATGTTCGGATCAAGTCGAATGATCATCAAGGAATAAGGGCGCAGCGATTATACTAGAGGCTCAGAGGTTTCACTTGAGTGATACCCACCAGGACTTCCTGCAATCCCTGCATATACGCTACGCGCAGGCGGCTTTTGTTTGCCGATGCATTGGACGCTGCCTGCCATCTCCCTGTTTGCGCGGACCGACGTGTCGAAACTCTGATGCTGCAGATGCGGGGGGCCAGACACGAGGAGGGAGAACATATTATGGGGCAAAAGCTGTGGCTATTATGTGCTCCTCTTCTTGGCATAGAGACAGTGCTGATAAGTCCCGTTTTATAAGAGGATGGAATGTGGCAGAGCACACTTGACAGTTTGAGTGACATGGACGTTGTGGTTTTGGATGGTGCTCCCCATGGACGACGACCTTGAAGAATGGACTTAGACGGCGCGCTCCTGCGAAAGCTTCGATGCGTTTAACGAGGACCGAGCGTACGTTTAAGCGAATGGAAGTAAGAAGCGAGGTTGGGCTCACCATGCCGATTCGAACCGAGATAGGTACCTTGCACTTACCTTCCCATTAAGAGACTTGTTACCTTATGTGACGGTAACCTATCGCCTCCCTAAAGATACAAAACAGACCGGCGTGATAAAGACCATTTGATAACCGCCCCAGCCCAGATTCGGCATTTGGGCACAGCATTTAGAAGCAGGAGATGGCGCTCGGCTAAGAAGATATGCACCCTCATGACTTGCTGCAATACGCGGTTCCAGGCCATGCGGCATCACGTAATGTTCTGCAAGAAGAGACCCACTTCTAGCCCAAGCCACATTTGGACACTGACAGATCCCTGTCCGCTCTGGGCTGCCAGGCTTGCCAGGTTCCAACTGGGCAAACCAACCACTTCACCTTACTGGCCCCCCGTCCAAGCCGCCGCACCTTCCTACTGAAACCTCCGTGTCAAGCTGGACACTTGTGAGCGCTTCGTCATCAGCGTTGCCATCAACTCCGGCCACAACTTTCTTGTTTCCTCTGGCCTCTTTCGCCTCCGCTACCTGCTTACTTCAATTCCACAAAGAGGAATTGGATAGTACTCAATTATCTTGATCGACGGAGATTCTCCGCTCGTGAGGTTCGTCCATCTGATCCCAATCCCCTTATCGTCTGGTCTCCTAACCGTTCCATCAGGAGTCCCTCCATCCCTCTCTCGCACCCTCTTTCTTTTCGAAGCCCGACCTCTTCGTCGGCGCCGCCCCCCGACCATCATGTACTCAAACTCGAACGCCTTTCTAGGCGGCAACAGCCACCGGCCCGGCGCGCAGCAATATGGCGGGAGCTCTTTCGGCCAGCAGCCGGGACAGCAGCAGCAGCAACAGCCGAGTCCTTTTGCTCCTCAGCCCACGGGCTTCGGTCAGGCGCCTTTGCAGCAGCAGTTCACCGGCTACCCGGGGATGCAGCAGCAACAGCAACCTCAGCAGCAGCAAGCTCCGCAACAGCTCCAGCCCCAGTTCACCGGCTTCCCCGGCCAGGCCCAGCCTCAGCAGAGCTTCCAGACCGGCGCTCCCCCGATGCCATCGATCCCCGCGCAGTACCAGTCGCAATTCCAGCAGCAACAGCCTCAGCAGACCGGATTTCCGGGCCAGCAGCAGCAACAGCAGCCACAGCCGACTGGCTTTGCTCAACAGCAGCAACCTCAACAGACTGGCTTCCCGCAGGCCCAGCAACCTCAGCAGACCGGCTTCGCTCAACAGCAACAGCCTCAGCAGACTGGCTTCCCGCAGGCCCAGCAACCTCAGCCTACTGGCTTCCAGAGCCAGCAGCAGACGGCTGCTCCGACCCCTATCAAACCCCAAGCTACGGGCTTCAGCCAGATGGCTGCTTCTTTCCGAACCGGAGGCACACCGAAGCCAGCTGGTCGACGCCCCAAGTCTGCCAACAAGATTCCGAACATCCGATTGTCCTTCATTACAGCCCCGGATCAGTCCAAGTTCGAGACTCTCTTCAAATCTGCGGTTGGTGAAGGCCAGGCAACAACAATGTCTGGAGATAAGGCGAGAGACCTGTTGATGCGGTCACGTTTGGATGGCGATTCGCTCTCACACATTTGGTCAGTACTCTCTAGTAGAACAGTCGTATCACAACGTACTAATGGGACATATACAGGACTCTTGCCGACACGACACGCTCTGGAGAGCTTCATTTCCCCGAATTCGCTCTAGCAATGTATTTGTGCAACTTGAAGCTCACTGGAAAGTCCATACCTTCAACATTGCCCGAGAACATCAAGAATGAGGTATCCAGCGTTGTCGACATTATCAACTTCAGCATTGCCGAGGACGCCGGCCGAGACACACCCGGCAGCACTGCTACCGGCAGGTCAAGCACCGAACCCACGATTCACCAGCCTCAGCCTCAAACGTCAAACTCCCAGCTGTTGCAAGCACAAATGACTGGCTTCCCTGGGCAGCAAGCGCAGGGCTTTGGGCAAGCGCAAGGCCTGCAATCTCAGCAGACCGGATTCCCTGGCATCAATGCGCAACCCACCGGAATGAACCCGCAACCTACTGGATACAACGGGCCACGACCGCCAATGCCGCCCATGCCTACCGGATATGGCAACAGCCTCACGCCGGGCAGAGGTCCAATGGCTGCGCCTCTGAACGCGCAACCTACCGGCCGCCCCGGCCAATGGGGTCTTGTCAACGCACCTTCCACAGGTCTGCCTAACATCGATGCTCTTCAAGCGAGAATGATGCCTCAGCAAGGCCGTGAGCAGGGAAGCTTCACTACGCAGGGTCTGCAGGGCAATGCTGTCATTCCTTGGGCCATTACCAAGGAGGAGAAGCAACGCTACGATGCCCTCTTCAAGGCTTGGGATGGACTTCACAAGGGCTTCATTGGCGGAGACGTTGCCATTGAAATCTTTGGACAGAGTGGTCTCGAGAAGCCGGATCTCGAGCGTGTCTGGACCCTTGCTGACAATGGTAATAAGGGTCGCCTGAACCTCGACGAATTCGCAGTTGCCATGCATTTGATTTACAGGAAGCTCAACGGCTATCCTTTGCCGAACCAGCTGCCGCCAGAGCTCGTTCCTCCCTCGACAAGAAACTTCAATGAATCTATCGGCACCATCCGGTCCATGTTGAGCCAGGAATCAGAGTTCCGTTCCAAGTCTGGTGCCGCTCTGCTTCCTCAAAAGACCGGTGTTAGTTACATGAAGACTCACTCGTTGAGAGGCACCCCTGGCGGCCAGAGCGGTGGGCGTAAGGATGCCACAGTCTTCAAGAACAACGATGAGCAGGTCGGATATAGGTCTAGCGCTCGTCGCCGCGTCGGCAACAACTCGCCCCGCCCCGAGTCGCCATCCTCTACCGCATACGATGACCTTGGACTTGATCAGTTGAGGAAGAAGATCCGGGAGAAGGAAGTCCTCCTCGACGCCATGGATTTTGCTGACGAGAAGAATTTGGAGGAGGACGATTTGCTTGACAGACGTGACCGTCGGGAGGCCGAGGAGCTGTACCGCCGTATTCGTCGCATCCAGGACGACATTGACGCAAACCCGGATGCTGCGCTCTCGACGGGAGATTCGGAAGCCGAGAGACGATCCTTGAAGCGACAGCTCCAGACCCTTACAGACAAGGTCCCCGAATTGGCCTCTGCCGTTCGCAAGACCGAAAAGGCTATCGCAGATGCGAGACTCGAACTGTTCAGGCTCAAGGACGCAAAGGCTCACCCCAACAGTGCCGCTGCCATTGTCGGCACGGGTCCTGGCGGTGCCGTAACAGAGTCTGACAGACTGAAGGCCCGGGCCAAGGCGATGATGCAGCAGCGTACTGCAGCCTTGACGGGCAAGAAGGTCGAGTCGAGCTTTGATGACGAAGGTCCCAAGCGTCTTGAGGAGGAGAACCATAAGATCAAAACCGAGAAGGAGAACAACGAGAGCATGGTCAGAGACGTGGAAGACTCTGTGCGTGACTTTGCTCGCGGCATTGAAGACAGCTTGAAAGAAGGTACCACCACGGCCTCCAACGAACACGAGAAGCGACGCTGGGAGGACGCTCTGGGCGTCGAGGACGAAGTCAGAGATTTTATCTTTGATCTTCAGCGATCTAGCCGTGCTGCGCGTGTTCGGGCCCAGGACCGACGTCCTACTTCCTCCTCTTCGCCTTCGGCCGCGCGTGCATCCTCTAGGGAACCTGCTGCGGCCAGTCCCGCCGTCCGGCATGAGAGCCCTGCCCCTCCCTCGCGTACCACTACTCCTGGAGGCTCGTACTCTTCTTACAAGACCCCCGAGGAGCGTGCTGCTTTTATCAAACAGCAGGCTGAGCAGCGTATGGCTGAGAGACTTGCTGCCCTGGGCATTAAGGCTCCTACTAAGCCTGGTGAGACGGCTGCCCAGAGAATGGAGCGAGAGAGAGCCGAACGTGCTGCTAAGCTGCGCCAGGCCGAGGAGGAGGATGAGCGCCGCGAAGCTGAACGTCAGGCCCGGCTCGCCGAAGAAACCGGCGCTCCGGCACCCGCTGCCAAGAAGCCTCCCCCGCCGCCGTCGAGGAAGGCCGCCAAGAGTGACGCTGCCGAGAGAGATGCCTCTCGGAAGGCAGAGGAAGAGCAAGCGGCCAAGCAGGCCGAAGAAGAGCGTCTCGCTAAGGAACACGAGGAGCAACAGCGGGCCACCAGAGAGTTGGAGTAAGTTTACTGTGAAAAGACCGAAGACGGATATGTGCTAACGAACACACAGGGCGAGCGCCAGAGAGCAGCAAGACGATCTCGAAACCGAGCGACAATCTGCTGCAGCTCGTCTCAAGGCACTCGAGGAGCAAGTCAAGCAGGGCAAGCTCAAGAAGGAGGAGGAGAAGCGCAAGAAGAAGGCCGCCCTCGCCGAGCAAAAGGAGAAGGAGGCCAAGTTGGCAGCACAGAGAGCCGAGATTGAAGCTGCCCGTCAGCGCGAGTTGGAACTCCAACGCCAGCTTGAGGCTATGAACGACGATGATGATAGCTCATCGGATGACGAGGATGGCCCTTCTCAAATTACGCCTCAGGCATCTACCCCTACTCAAGGCGGCAGCCAGATCAGCAGTCAAGAGCTCGAGAAGCAGCCTTCCCCGCCTCCCGCCATCCCAACAGTGGTCACCAGCCCTCCCACCGAGAACGAGAGCCGCAACCCGTACCACCGCATGCTCTCTCACTCATCCGAGTCCACCTCGGCCCCGAGTGAGCCCTCTGCACCTGCCGCTGCCCCTCCCCCACCCCCGGCGGCTGCGCAGTCTACTAACCCCTTCCACCGCATGGCGCAAGAAAGCAAGGCAGCTCCCGCGGCTGCCTCTCCCCCGCCTCCCTCTGGGCCATTCTCCCGTAAGCGCCCTGATGAGGACGATGACTGGGGCACGGATAAGGAGGATGACGAAGATTCCGACGATGATGACCGTCCCGGCGGCAGTAGCGCTGCGGCCTTGGCTTCCATCTTGTTCGGAACCATGGGCCCCCCGCGACCACTTTCAGCTACCGGAGACAAGCCGACATCGAACCCTGTCAGCCCGGCTATGGGCAGCGACGCCTCACCTGCGTTCCCTCCTCCCCCGCCGCCCATGCCAGCCAGCGGTGCTCCTCCTCCTCCGCCAGGCCCAGCGCCCGAGGCTCCTTCGGCTCCTCCCCCGCCACCGATGCCGGCATCGCCCGCACCGGGTGGCCCGCCGCCGCCGCCTCCTCCCCCTCCAGGCATGGGAGCTCCACCGCCACCGCCTCCTCCACCACCAGCGGGTGACGCACCGTCAGGCCCCCCGGCAGGCGGGCGACCCGCGGGTCTTCTCGGGGAGATTCAGCTTGGTAGGGCCCTAAAGAAGACCGAGACGCGCGATAAGAGCGGCGCCGCTACTGCAGGCCGCGTTTTGGATTAAATGCTAGATGCTAGTATCTACAGTCCGTGCTGGTTGTGGTTGGCTGCGGAGGCAGGCGAAGAATGTCACGGGGAAGGGCATTGAATGAGACAGTGAGAGAGAAAGCTCTGCCCAGGTAGCTCACATAGCTCTCAGGATTGGTTGGAAGTAGGATTCAGTTCACATGTGGCAAGACCTTTTTTCTTTAGCTAAGAGAGGGAGGGAGGGGTTTGGAGGCTTGTAGTAGGTATTGTTCCCACTATCAGACAGATGTTATAACCCAGCCAGGTAGTAATGCAAACCCCCGAGTTTTCGTTTCTTTATCCTCTCATGCTCGTCAGACGGTTCTCTTTCCAACTTGGCCCGTGACCTGACCCTCTTCGCCGCCCGGCCGGCTGGCTGATCAGTCCGTCGTGTCAAACAAAGAATCTGAGCTGCGTGGTCCGGCGCGGAGCTGCGTTAGCTCTGGTGTGTGTATAAGGGCCATGCGTTGCGTGCGTGCGTTGAGTGTCGTAGGCGCCTTGAGTGCTCAGTGTGTCTCTCTTTTTTTTCCCCCCTTCTTGCTGGGAGAGAGTGGCGTTAGTTATTTCTAGTGCTTCTTCTATTCTGACGCCCGATCGAGTTTGTGTGTTTGCTTGGAAGGATCGTCTCTCCGCAGGGAGAGTTGCCGGTGCGGCGGCGATGGCGTCGGTGCTGCTGTATGAGTCCCTTTTCCGAATTGATTTTTTTTTTCCTAAGTGCGGATTTCCGAACTATGACCATGACTATGACCACGTTTAGTTTGCTCAGCTTACCTTCATATCTTGGGGTGAGGAGGGCTACATATTTTGCTTGGGAGGGGTGATTCAAGTTCAGAAGAGTTCTTCCATTCTTTGTGTTTGTATAGTGGGCAAGCGTGGCAAGCGTGGCAAAGGTGGGCAAAGTCTGGAGTTACGTAGGGCACGTAGGATAAGGCTCACGAGGATCAACTGTCTTGCTTTTGCGAAGATCCCATGATGGGGTTTGTTTGAAGCTTGGCAAAAGTCCTAGGAAGTGCATGTATTTAGTCTGGCGCTGGATTATGTGCATCTCTCGGTCCATAACGGGCAGGTTTGAATGATGAAGATCTGCTCGAATGGTGACGGCTTTTACTTAGATTCGGCGGGTTCGTGGAGATGGATGCCGGGCATCGATTTTGCAGTAGTATTTCTCTTTACCATACCATACATGCATGTTTGAGCCATACGCGATTTTACTGAACGCGTCGGAGGACTTGTGTTGTTTATTGACATGCAGTCTTTCATCTGATAGTTCTTAGATCCTTGGAAGGTAGGAGGGCCATGAGAAAGAGGGGGGGAGGGGGGAAATCAAACGGTTTGCGCCATATAATGCGGCGCTGGGGGAAAAGGTGGCTGGCGTAGCTGCGATATCTCGCTTTTACTTCGTACACTACTGCAGGTTCCTTTTTCATGTGCAACACAATTACGACATGAGCAGTCTACTGCAGTCTGCAGGTAATCTTTCTCCGCTGCAAACTAGGTGGCCCCCCTCTCTCCGTCTCTGTCCCGGCTTTCTCGGGAGCCTTGCTGCTTTGTATCGTACTGCGGTATTCTAGTTTGTCTAGACTATAGACTAGTGTAGGCGCGAGGCCAACTGACGGCAGAGGATGGGCACCACAGTGAAGAGGAAACGCTCTGGTGATGGGCTAGATATGCAGGTCGATCGTCCTAGTCTTTCGTAGCTGGGAGAAGGATGGAGACATAGAGCGAGCTGGTGAGATACCTCGCCACCTTACCATGGAGGAGAGCTGCTGCTGAGATGTAGCCACAGGAGGCTGAGTAAGAGAGCTATCAAAAAGACGTTCAACGTTCAAGGTTGGAATACGGTTGCACTCGGCTAGGAAGCTTGGGACAGGAACGACATGAAGAAGGAGGGGGTGGATCTACGGGTCCTGTTTCCCCCCTTCCCCCTCCTCGACTGTTCGAGCTTCACCCACATTGAGGGGACGTTTCTTAGATCTGCAAGGCACATTTCGTGGTAGAACGAGCATCCGTAAAGTTGAGATGTTGAGCCCACGTCGGAGGTAGAGTCTCTGCAGGATATGCTGTGGAGAGGGACGTGCCCTGCAGCAGCATTTTGGTATCTTTCTCGTCGTGGGCCCCGGACCCAGGCTGTCACGGTCAGAGGAACAGCAGTGCAGCACTACGACCTCGATGAAACATATGCACGGATGAGGTGCTCGTGAGGTGGGAAAGGATGAACCCCAGTTTAGAGCTACCCTGGAAATCCTCCCAGCCACCGGACTTTTTTTTTTTTTTTTTATCTCATGGAAAGTTTGGAAACGGCCATGGAAGGCACGGAAGGACAAGGGGAAGGGGAAAAGGCAGACTTGTGTGCTGTTGAGACTCGGGAAGATCGTGTCTCGGTCCTCCGAGTCTGTGTGTTACAGTTTGAGAGGGCCGATTGGGCTCCGGGGTGGCGTTTGGAAAAGGGCGCCGAATACTTTCGAAGGAAGCGGGATGCGATATTTCTGGAGCGTCCTGAGGTAGATAGTCCCAACATCGAAAGGCCGAGGGTTTTCACCTGCGTCTTACGACATGGCTGATGCGAGGGAGGAAGTAGGATGCGATGAATGGCCTGAAAGGTCCTAGATAATGGGCCGGAGATCGGACGTTGGCCTATGCTTCATGCTTGCTTTTCCATGAATGAGGGTCTGCCGGCCGGTCTGATCTTTACGAATAAAACTTGCTAGACTTAGACAACAGAGCCGAGGGACCCGTTTTCCAAACCAGCTTTCGCACGTAGAGGCAAACTTTTTTTTTTCAATACTAGTGAAAGAAGAAATCGAAACCGAGGCGGACGGATGGGCCATGGGGAAGAAAGTAAATGAGATGGCAAATGCGTTGTCCATTGTTGGGAAGACGGGAATGAGAGGGCATTGTTGGCGGCAATTGGGCATCGAGATTCTAGAGTCGGCCGACTTCTTGGTCGTCAATGCTTCTTTCTAGGGTGCTGAGGATCACAGACTCGACGTGGGATCGGTAAACGGACGGACGGCGACGGTGCGCGTGGGCTGAAATGCGCCCAAAGCTTTCCTCGGCTGCCTTGGTTTTTCTGGACTACGGAGTGCAGCCCGTAGGGTTATCTGGTGATATGGGGCTCCTTTCGTGGCCTGACATGGGGGGATGAAGCTGGGGTTGGAAAGACGAGTTGCTTGGAGATGATAAGGTAAGGCAGAGCAGACCGCAGGTTGGCATATGCGGCGGTCCTCTCCCCTGGGTACGGAGTATGGACTATGGAGTATCGTCACGCTAGAGACGACACGCCGGACAAGGCAGGTACTGAATCAGAGATGGGATGGGAATGAGAATGGGAGAACGGCCGGCACTTTGAGCGGGTATATCGAAAGCAGCGCTATTAATATCAAGGAGGCAGGGATAGAGGCTCCGGGGGTCCCAGAATGAGAGTGACAGTCTGTGAGAAGGAAAAGATGGAGAGGAACGTACGGAGTATTCGTACGGATGGAGAGGAAGAAAGGGAGGGGTATTGGTACGGAGTACAGTAGTGCGATGCAGCGGCGCGCGGGTTGTGGTCCGCCGCGAGCGTTTGTGCATTGAAACGGACAGACGAGAGTCTCATCAAACATCCAACGGGCGTGAGTTGGCAGTTGTGCCCAGGCCGGGAAACACACGAGACTGAGGGAGACGAAGAGAAAAGAGTGGTCAGAGAATGACGAAAACTCTGTCGCATTGCTGCCATGTGTCTCTGATGTTTTTTGTCCATGAATTACTCCATATCGTCAGGGAAGTGAGGTTGAAAAATTGATCGTCGGAGCGGATTCCGTGGGGATCTCGATGGCTTTTTTCTCACAGAGAAGGTCTCTCTTTTTTTTTTTTTCTTTTCTGCCCAAGTGTCAGTTGAGCACGAGGTGGGAAACATGCCGAGATGGGGAAAGCGAAGAGTCAGAGTTCGGGGCGAGCTAGATGCGTTGTCAATGATGTGCGAGATGGGATATCTCCCGTAGGGAAGATTTGCATCTTATGCGAAGATCGACTGACAGGGTGCAACGACTGGGCTGAACCTGGCAGTGGAAAAGCCAAGATAGGTACGGTACCTGGTGACCCCCTCTTCGTTTGTGAATGGATTGCGCAGAATTGGGAGGGCATGTTCACATGGGAGAGGACGCCCGTCAGGTACCGGAGGTCGGAGCGATAAGGTACGTCAGTGACCACTGACAGCGCGAGCGGTGAATGGTGATTTGTGAATGAGAGAATGGGGGAATGGGGGAATGGGGGAATGGGAAGAATGAGTGGTGAGAGGTGCAGCGGCAGGAAACAGAGAAATTGCTTCCCAGAACCCTGCTTGGTCTGCACCACACAAGCTGAGCCCGGCGTGTCTGCTCTTCCCCATTGCTTGCACTTGCAACTGGCGAGTTGCACGCATTCCCACTTCCATTGCAGTTGGTAGTTGGCAGTTGCAACTTGCAAGCACCTAGGTCAGGTACGCGGTACGTACTACCTACCTTTCTACGTAGTACGTACACTACCTAGGTGAGGGGTACGTACTTCTTGAACTGGCAAGTGGCTTCGAGACCCGGTGGAACCTGATGGCAGGAACGGGCACTGCGGGCAGGACCAGGCAAGAAGTTGGGAAGTTGGTCCCAATTCTGGTTGAAACATTGTCAGCCAGAGGAACCAATGAGACGGTTCGAGGTGGAAACGGTTTGATTGGGGATCGAGAGCTGGGGCCACGTCCGGGCACTGACGGAGACACGAGATTTCTGGAAAGAGCAGCCCAGAAAACATGTCCGAAGGGATTGGACAGTAGGTACCACGAGTACCACAGTACCTGATTGCTGGCGGTAGCGAGAAGGGATGATGTCACGGATGGAGGGGAAAGAGCCCGGGAGAGGAGTTTCCCGCTCTCGGTATTTCGTATTATCGGACGGGTCATTCGGGTCGTGCGTGAAGACTCAGGTACCTACCTACCTTAGCTGACTGTGCTCGCCTACGGATACGGTAGCTTGACTGCATGAGTCTCACCTTCATATCTCTATCCCGTCAAGCACGTGTGGGAGCACGTAGCAGCGGTCATGGACTAATGGGCCCCAAGGCAACTTTACAGAGAGAATTGAAGCGAACGGGTCACAGGTATCATGACTAGTGTCAGATGCCTTTCCAACTTGTAAGCCCCAGTGGCTCCCGTGGTCCTGTGCCTGACAGTAAGGAGTGCCGATGATGAGATGTTGTCTTGCTTTCCGAGACCCTTTCCCCGTACCTGGCCGCGCTGGGCTTCTTAACACTCAAGTTTCGGGCCCGGTGGAGAGACACATGTCGTAGCAGTCTTGTCGCAATTGGCGCCACGGCCTGGACGTTGCCTTTATGTACAACAGAGTTCCAGAGTCTCTCTCCATCATCAATGGCTGTCTCCGTTCACCTGTGATTGATAGACATGCCCGGGTTGAGGCGAACAGTGACACTCGCAAACTCTCACACCGGGCTGCCACCCGTCCCGGCGTCCACCAAACGTTCGTTGAACGTCGCCCATTTAGAGATGGCATGCTTATTCGTCAGGCTCGCTCCAATGCAACACCGCGGCTGTCGTCGCCTTTCCGCAGAGGGCAAAGACCCATTCGACACCGCTCATCCATGACAATATTAGCCTTCCAAGGTTTCCCAACGTATATCCGTGCAGCTGCTGTTAGTCTCTTCACGGCCGGCCATAGGCGCTCCGGAGTGCTCCCTGCGCCGAGGCTCGAGCAGTTTTTAGTCATTTTTCACCTAGAATCCCATGGGTACCCTACTTGGAAAGCGCCCCATCTAGTCCAGTTCTAGAAGTCTGTTCTCTGGTTGGGAATCAAACAGCTGGGATGATGGAAGGAAGCATTGACGAGAATTTGATCATGCTGATGGGATCCTCTCCAGGCACGGACAGGTTGGTCATGCTCGGCCCAGAAAGACCCGTCTAGCCGTCCGAGAGGGTGAAAACGCAGAGCACGAGGCGAGAGATGAGGACAAGCGGAATGGACGCGCGCAAATCGTCTCTCTCGTCTTATATCATCGGGAGGTAAAGTGAGACGCCCGTCACATTCCGTACCTGACGATCTGGCCAGCATTAGGGAGGGGGTCTTGGTACATAGGACTCGGTCTCAGTTTCACAGCGGGGACAATCGTTGCAAGACACCCTAAGCCATTAAAAAAAGACTCAGATGGGGGGGGGATATGAAATTCTGTTAAGTGGTGTCAGTCTGACAAAAAGAAAAAAGATGTCGTCCAGCCTTTTTTCAGCGGTTATCCGTGATTTCCTTTCCGTGATGGCTCCTGATGGGCACATGAGTTGGGATGACCCAGTTTCATCGGATGGGGGCACAGCAGCCAATCGTGAGCACAGTCATGTGATGTGGCTCTTTTGATTGGCCGGGAACGGACGCGTTTGTTGTTTTCTTCCCGAATCGGTGAGACGCGTCGGCTACGCGCCGACTTCATTCCATCATCCATGACCTGTGCCTCGAACCCTTCGACCCAATCAATCCCAGCAGCCAGCGACAAGAAGAGGCCATTCAACAAGACCAGACGAGGGCACCACAGAGAAGACGCAGAGCCGTCGCAGACCGAGACAGCGACCTCTTTTTGAGCCCTCACAGGCTCGCACACAATAGCAGCCGCAGCCATTTTTATTTTTCGCCTCTTTCTCTCTCCTCTTGAGTCTTAGATAGGAAGCCCCATTTCATCACGGCTGCAGATCAGATCAGATCAGCCAATTGACGGCAAACGAGCGCTTAGCTGAACAAGCCACAACCGTGAGGGAGACTAGCATTTCGGCCATTGCCAGAGGAAGAAAAGGCAACCCCATGGTCTCTTTACTCGACCCTGCGCTACCAGCTGGACTCGACCATCTTCGGCCTGGGCTTCCTTTGACACCTTGGTAGTCTCGAGACAGTCGCAACACCATCAAGGACGAAGTCGACGACGGTGGATGGAGCGATATCACAGTTTGCACCATTGCCCACAGCATCCACAGATATTTCCCAGGCAGAGCCCTGCATGCAACACCATTCGCTGCCCGTCAAGCTGCATCTAGAGACTCTAGCTGTTATCTACAGCATCCATCCCTGTGGCGTGCTGGGAAGTAGGGGACCTTGGGGGTGGTGCAGTGGTCACTGGATATTGGTGCACATGCAGTGGAAATTCAACCTTTTTTGGTGGTAGACGCGCGCACATTGACACATTTCTGTTGGAAGACAGCGCAAAAAGAGGAGTCCCGTACCTACGCAGTACATCGTACTTTGTAGAGCCCGTCGGCGGCCCACCACGGACTCTCGCATGAACTGCAAAACCTGCTTGCATACAGTACGTGCATAGCATAGCCTTCCCGTCCTGTCGCCAGCTTTCGCCCATTCACATTTCGTACAAACGTCGTCACTAGTCGCTACGCAGTAGGCTCTGGGAAGACTGGGATCCTCTCTGTCTGCCGGACGTAACCCGCGCGGACACCCTTCCCCCCCCTCCTCCCCACTGGAACTGAGTCTGACAGGCCTGGCCCCGGGAGAGCCCTGAGCTTCTTGTTCTTCTTCTTCGTTTCCTCAGTCGGTTCTCTTCAGACTTCGTTCGACCTGAACTGGAGCCGAGAGAAAGTCTGTTCGACTTCAACCGACCGGGCTGGCTGTCCCTCTCTTTTCTTTCGACGGCGGCCCAAGCAAACGCGCAAAGACACAAACGCAAATCCTCATCCTCGGCGCCTGACAGAAACCAAACGGTTTACAGCCCAGGGCACCGACCCCGGATGCGAGCAGCTTTCTATGTATACTACCTTACGGAGTACACAGTAATAGTATCAACGGATACACCACAGACTTCACTACTTCAGGTCTCTTGCCAAGTGTGCGCACTTTCTTTCTGATCGCTCTCCCGCTCGGCGACGGTTGGCTTCCAACTTCGACCTTTTTTTTCGGGACGGCGTGTTCCAGCAAACGGTCGACGTTGCCGTGCATCCCATCATCGCCAACATCCATGATCCTCCTCCACCATTTTCACACTTTTACACCACCCATCATCCATGCAGGCTGCTCATGCTGCTACCTTCTGTGCCTGTGCCTATGCCATCGAACCCCGGACGATATCAAGCACACGCACACTCATACTTGCACTCACACTCACATTCGCGCACACCACACACACCTACTCCATTACACTCCCTGCAGCTAACCAAACTACGGAGGTCCTTTAACACTACACACCCTTGCTGCCACTTCGGCGTACCCTAGCCTGGTCGGTCGTGTCACAGCCCACGCTCCTCTCGTCCAATCGCCCATTCCTCCCGTGCTCCAGAGGCCCCACCGGACATCTCTGGGCTTGCTGAGCTGGCCGCCCACCTCTTCAAAGACATCCCGGTCCTCTCCACTCGCCTTGGCTGAAATCAATCCATCAATCCATCCTTCTGCCGCCGACTCCCACCTCCTCACTGACCTACTACTTCCACTACCACCACCACTACTACCGCTGGCTCGCCTATTACATCTTACCTACCCTCTCTCCCTCGCGTGGTATCGTGCCTGATATCCCCTCTTTTCTTTTCACCTTTCTGCAGCCATAAGCCATATCTCACCCTCACCCTCGCGCCTGCTGACTCTCCTCTCAACTCTCTCACACGCACACGCACACTTTCCTACCCCATCGCGCATTATCGACTTCGCATTAGCATCGTCGTCGCTCTTCAACGTCGTCTGTCGGGCACCACTTCTTCGCAGAATATCGCCATCGCTTGCCTGATCGCATCGTGTCGATCCAGCGATCCCGTCGCTAAACTTACAATTTGACCGCCAAAAGGCCCCCTTGCATTCACGACCCACAACTCATTTCCAGAGTCTAGACCCGACCTAGGTGAGCCTTGAGTCTCCTCTCTCTTTCTCCTCCCTTCAATCATGCAAAACCCCGTTCGGGTTCAAGAACCTTGGAAGCCGGGCCCTGTCAGGTTGACAGAGTCAAGACCACACCGTCAACTACTTATCTAACCTTATGCCGTTGCGGCTCGCTGACATGCCCTTCCTCACACAGCCCACTACTTGCCGCGAACGCACTTGACGCAGGTTTGGAGACGACATCCATCAACTACTATCGGCCGACATGGCCAAACCCACGCGCTATACCGGCTCTCACGAGCCTTTGCAAATCTACCAAGACGACTTTTTCGAGAACTCGACAACAATGATCAACCACGCACCTATGCCTGTCGCCTCCAAGCCACCAAGGAGGCCGCTTGGCGCAACAAGTAACAACAACGTTGTACTCAACCCTCCGATGCTCGCATCCGATAGACACTCGCCTCTGAAAGCATCATCAGGCAACATCAAATCGCATCATGCCCCGTTAAAGTCTCAGGGCAGCAAGTTAAACATGGTGCCAATGGCGCCACCATCAGCGAATCTTCAGAACACCGATTCGCTACATAAGAAGCCCTACTTATCCAAATTCAAGACCGTCGCACAGAAGCCTCCTTCCGTGGATTTGGCCGCCGGCTTCGGGAAGGAAAACATACACCCGCAGTTGTATCCTGCGCCGCCCACAATCAACTTCGATCAGTTCTACATGCACAAAGGACCCGGAAAGCGCACATTGATGGAGGCTGCGCCGATCAAGGAATCACGACCTCTGAAGAAGGTCAAGGCCGACGAGTCGGGCCTTCCACCCCATGATTCTTTCCCTCCGATTGTCGACGATGGGACGAAACCAGGCCACAGCTACGCGACTTTGATCGGAATGGCCATCCTCCGATCACCACTACGACGCCTGACCCTCGCACAAATTTACAAGTGGATCTCGGACACGTACTCGTTTTACAAGGCGGAGGAATCGGGATGGCAGAACAGCATTCGGCACAATCTCAGCCTTCACAAGGCCTTCATCAAGGTAGAGCGACCAAAGGACGATCCGGGCAAGGGTAACTATTGGACGATCCAGGAGGGCATGGAGCAACAATTCATGAAGGACAAGCCGGCAAGAAAGACGGCGACGACCGCCGAAAACGTGCCTGTCATGTCAACCCGTATGGAACCCTCGAGGCCGGCCAACATGCCGATTCAGGAGCCGACCCTTCCGCCTCCTGCGCCGATCAGGCATGCGACGACGCTCCCGCCCCTGCCTACTTCCCAGGCCACCGTTGCCGTTGAGTTTTCATCCGATGCCACCATTCCTGTCTCGGACTCGGCCGCACCGGAAGACGGACAAGATAAGCTGGACCAAGAATGCTCTCCTCTGCCGCCTACGATGCATTCTTCACCGCCAATTCCGCGACACATGGAGCCCCGCAGCCGTACGCCTCCTCCGCCTGGCCGCGGACCTATGTCGTCGATCACTAGATCTCACAAGAGAAAATTCGCGTCCATGGACGACAGCGGTTACATCTCGTCTCTTGAATCATCTGCTCTGCGCCCGCAAAAGACTGGAATTCTTACCTCGGAGGCTGATCGTCCTCGCAAGCGCAGTCGCGCTGGCAGGGCCGAGGATGAGATTGCTCGCTTGCGCGCGTCGTCTTACGATAGCCCTAGCAAGGGTCGATCGTATAACGCGTTTGCCCCACCGTCCTCATCGCCGCTCCGCCAGCAAGGGCAGATGCTGCCACCGCTCACGCCAGCCATGAAACTGAAGCCGCCTACCAAGGCCCCGCCGTCTGCCTCGCCCAACACCAACCTTCGCCAGCACCGCGAAAATGTCCGCCAGATGCTGCAGTCTCCGATCCGCAAGATGGTCGGCACCGGTGACGGCAACGCGCCGTGGAGCCCCGCTTTCAACTTGGACGAGAGCGTCTATAATTACAATCTGATGACCGCTGGTGACTTTGACATCTTCCAAGACATGGACAACGACTTCTTTGACGGCGCACCTCAAGAGTCTCCCTCCAAAAAGTCCGGCGGAAAGCGACCGCGTCTGGAGCGCACTCACTCTGCCAATGCCTTGGCCGATACTCATGACTCGGGTAACGGCAACAAGTCGGTTCTCTCAACGCCCTTCTTGAAAGCACCCGCACAACCTTCCGCCATGTGGGAGACCCCCAGCAAGGTCTTTGACGGCCTGTCTTCCCCTATCAAGGCCAACAACGATGCCGCTGTGCAGTGGAGATTCCCCTCGCCGACCAAGATAACTAGTTCGTTTTACGAGGTAGCGGCTGAGGGCGACTGGCCTTCATTCTCTTTCGACACAACGGACTTCATGTCGGAGGAGACCACCGAGTACTCGGGTCTCGACATCCTGCAGGGCTTTGAGAAGATTGGGTCTGGCTCCCAACCCAAGGCTTCCGGCTCCAAGCCCAGCAAGCCTGCTTTTGGACGGAGCTACACCACGCAATTCTAATCTCATCCAATGAGAGACGATGACGACCGTTACGATGTATGAACACACTTACTGGCATGACGTCCCGATGCATTCAGGCATTCAGGGCCTGTTTCGACACACTTCACACGATAATGGAGCGCGCGGGGGAAACACAAAAAACTTTGGGCTGATTTTAAAGACTAATGTCTGATTCGGGCTTCGAGGCTTTCACAATTCTCTTGTCCATGATTGTTTGCTTTATGATAATGACGAAGCAGTGCACATATAATGTCTTGGCTCTCTTTTTTTCTCCGGTGGGCAAAGGGGGAAAGCGAAGGGACATCATCATTCTTGAGAGAGAAACGGAGGGAAACATGAGATTTTTTGCGCGTTTATTGCTTTCGTCGGCCTTGGACCAGGTTAGGTTCGGCCGGACACTTGCTTCTTGCTTTTTTGTTCTATTGCTGTTTGGCCGGAATGGCTATTTTGTTTTTCTTCTTTGCTGTGTAGGAAAATCCGGGTTGGATGCGTAGCGTATTAGCTTCGCTCCTTTGCTAAGCACACTGGTAGTGATCAATTCTATGGAAACACGCACTAAACAGAGAGCCTCCTCATAAACGTTGTTGGTGTTATCATTGACGGTGCAACTGTCGTCATGATCGTACGGGATGAATGCCTTTACCCCATGCATGAGGCTACTCAGTACATGAGTCTTTTATTTGGTAACATGCACTTCACAGAGTCCCATGGACACTGTGGTGTATGTTCAAGTCGGCATGACTCTCGACATCGACCTTGCTATGATGCGCCTGTCCCAAGACGTACAAGTAGAATATGTACCTGAATTTTGGTAAATTCGTCATAGGTCATCCATGAAGCTAGACATCGTCACGTGCGTGACCTTGTAATCTTTGGTTAATGAACTCAAGAACGGGTATCATATTGTCTTGCTCTAAATTCCCCAATGTCCCACATGATCTATACCTCGTGAATCATGGCTTGTCCCTGAAACGCCGGAATGTGTGTGTGTGTACTTCTACGATATCTGCCAGCAGCGTCACCCATCGTTCATCCTGGGGTTCGTTGAATGTTTGTCGTCCCAAAAAAGAAACGATTCAAAAATCAACCAAAAAATCATCTTGTCAAACATCTCATTACAGTTTCACAGTGTCGTCGTGTCGTCGCTCGCACACACAGAAATTCGCAGAAAAAAGATCAGTAAATACCCATCCTCGTAGCCCAGCCCGACTCCTTTTGGTTAATGTTGATCTGATAGGGAAACGGGTTCGACCCCTGTGTCGTTATCGGAGGGATATGGTCCTTGTGCGCGTTTACAAAGGTGATAACCTTCATGACGGTCGTCATGAGCGTCGTCTCCATGGCTTTTCGGACTTTGGCTCGCTCTATTTATAGTGAGAGTTACGCACCCCCCAACGGTCAGCCTTCGTTATTCCTGGTTTCCGCATCACGATGACACCCCCCATCTTAGGTGCCTCAAGGGGAAAAGGGAGGAACCAACCAGTCTCCGTCCTGGGCTCCGCGACCGTGACCTTGACGGTCCAGCACTCCCAGCAGACCTCCTCGTCGCCGCGCATGAGCCAGGCCTTGCGGCGCTTCTTCTCAAAGAACTGGACGGTGAGCTGGCCGCGCCCCCCGCCGCTGCCGCCGGAGCCGGACGAGGAGCGCTCCGCGTCGAGCTGGCGGACGAGGGCGGTGGCGCGCTGTTCGATCATGGTCTCGAGCTCGACGTCGTCGACGTAGGGGAGGGTCAGGTCTAGGACTTCGCGGGTGTAGGGGACGACGGCGGGGAAGAAGCGGTGGAAGAAGATTGTGTGGAGGATTCCTGTGTCATGGTGGTGAGGTTCTGTTAGCATTTGTATTCTCAAGTCTAAGGGTCACTGTGGGGAATGGGCTTGTGTTCATGAGTTTTGGGGTCTTTGGTTGTTAGGGATGTTGGCGGGGGTTTTTGGGAGGCAAGGTAGAGGCAAGACAGGCGGTCGTCGCATCGCGAGGCTGAGAGGTTCGGAAGGCGTTGTCGTTCGTTTTGAGGCGGATATGACGTCTGGCGGGGCGCCCGACTGCGGGCTACCTATGGGAAAGAGGACGGGGGGATGGGAGAGGGGGGGGAAAGACTGGTAGGTACCTTTGACGACGTCCCTCACGGAGGCCGGGTCCGCAAAGGCCTCGAGAATGAACTCTGGCGCGCTGCTCTGCTGCATCGTGCCTTTTCTTGATTATGGTATTTTTCTCAGTGAGTTGGTTGTCAGATAGACGGGTGCGGTTGGCGTTAGAGAGAGAGAGAGACGGGTAGATACTCTCCCTCTGCCTGAGGTAAGGTGAGGGAATGGCCCAAAGAAAGGTGTCAGATGTACTGAGGGGCACCTCACACTCGCACTTCAGCCCAGCACTAATGCGCCGCGCCGATAAGGGGGCGGGCGGGCAGAAAGAGAGCGGGGAGTCACTCCCGCAGTAGGTATTGATTGCCCACTGGCCCAGGGAGGGAAGGGAGAGAGGCGGGGTGGGGGGGACGGTACATCGGTAGCAGGGGTACTCTGCCTTCTTCCAGGTTGGGAAAGGTACTTCCCCGAGCTGGGTCATGAGGAGCAGAATGTCTGTAGCCCTGTGCAGTAGCCGTATCTTCGCATCCCATAAGGTACCTTGGACTGTGAGGTGAGGTGGGTAGTCGTTTGTGGTGGGCAGCAAAGGCGGGCAGCGATGTACGAAGTACCCCGTGCTCCGTACGGAGTACAGATACAAGGTATGGTAAGGTACAGCCGGGAAGCACTCGATGCGGCGGCGGTTGCGGTACCGGCACTTCAGCCACAGCTGTTGGGGGAAGAAGTTGAGAACACGGGCATTAAGGTAAGGTAATTGAGATGACGCGGGAACGTGGGTGTGGCTGGGCCGAGGTAATCACGGTTCACGACTCGCAAAGAGCAGCAGCCAGTCACTGGCAGTCAGGCGCGAGCTCCTCTCTGCTGGTGTGCTTAATTGCTCCAACTTATCATTACGTGCCGACCAGCCTTCCTAGAGCTCGCCCAGATAGCCAATTTTGGGGGGGGTTTAATAGACAAAAAATCTCCCCATCTTCTTTTTCATATGATTCCTCATGCAAAACGGCCGCCTTTATGATTCTCTGACCGTGTTCGAAAGCTTCAATCGGGGTTCTTTAACTATTTTCTTATTCCTTGTCTAACTTCAATCCTTCTTGTCTTTTCCCTCCTTTGCCCCCCTCTACCATTACCGTACCTCACCTTTCCATCAAGAAACAGACCGACCCCTCGGACATTCTTTCGCTCGCCGCGTCAGACCGAACCATGTTGGAAGCTACTCGGCGATGGTTCCGCCGGAATAGGACGCCCCTCGCCGTCAGCGTGGGTGTCGTCGGCGCGGGCTACGTCGTCACGCAGTATGTCATGGGCAAGATCAACGATGCGCGCGAGCGCATGAGCAGCGACCGCATCGCAAAGGAAAAGTAAGCTGGCATTCCTTGATCTTCCCCCATAGCTTCCATAATTCCCTCCCCTTTCTGGACTGACACTATCACCAATGCAGTCTCCGTCGCCGATTCGAGCAAAACCAAGAAGACTGCACCTTCACCGTGCTCGCGCTTCTGCCTTCAGCGACGACGAACATCCTCGAGGCCATGAACACGGAGAAGATCACCTACGAGATCCAGAAGATGAAGGGCCAGACCAAGAGCCTGAAGAGCAGCAGCGGCAGCCCGCCCAGTATCGCAGATACCACTATGACCGAGGATGACGGCCGGAGCATGGTCAGTAGCAGCGTGCAGAGCGAGAGCGGCGTGCACGCGAGCCAAATCACAGTGCCGGCCCCGACGTCGGCCGCCGCTGGAGGGGCCGCTGAAGGTGCGCAACAGGAAGGCGGAGCGGCGCCGACGCAGAAGAGTCGGAAGTCAAAGAGGCAATTGTGGGATGATTTGACCATCAGCTGTGAGTGACGCACGTCTGATGCGATAGAAAAGATAAACAGAGGGGGAAAGGTGCTGACATTGACATCCCAGCCATAACGCGAGCCTTCACGCTGCTATACACACTCGCATTGCTGACGATGCTGACAAGAGTCCAACTCAACCTCCTCGGCCGCCGCAGCTATCTCTCGAGCGTCATATCTCTGGCGACCGGCGCCGCTCAAGCAACTATCAGTCTGGAGAATAACGACGACGACGGCCTCGACCAGCCCTACGGCAACGACTTTGAGACGAACCGCCGCTACCTAACCTTTAGCTGGTGGCTCCTGAACGAGGGGTGGAAGGAGCTCGGCCAGCGTGTCGAGGCCGCCGTCCGCCAGGTCTTTGGCCACCTGAGCCCGCGCGACCTGCTCAGCTTTGAGCAGTTCTCGGAGCTGACGCTCGCGGTGCGCAAGGCTGTCGAGGGCGCCACGCCCGAGGAGCGCAGGGCCGCAAAGTGGCTGCCCTACCTCCTCCCGCCGCGGGACAAGGAGGATCACGTCCTCCGCGAGTCGGGGATTCTGGAGGAGAGCACTGTGATGCTGTCCGAGAGCAACACGTCCCAGTCTTCGCCGTCGTCATCGCCCGCCGTGAGAAGACTGCTCGACGAGACGTCGGACCTCATCGAGTCGCCTTCCTTCACACACGTGCTCACGCTCATCCTCGATGCGGGCTTCTCCCTGCTCGTGGACAAGAAGCTCTCATCGGCGGCCTTTGACAAGCCAGACCTCGCCGAGTCGGAGCCCCGCACATCGCAGGTGGTGGTGCTGCTGCCCAAGATCCTCTCGGTCCTCACGAGACAGGCACACATCATCGGCAACGGCATGCCGAACGAGTACCTGCAGGAGATGGAGCAGGTCGCTGACCTCGAGGGTTTCGCTGCCGTGGTGTACTCGAGCAACTGGGAGAACGAGATTCACCACGACGACGAGGGCATTATGGCGAGCGCCGTTGATGTGAGGGCCAGCGAGTTGCCCCGCGCCAGCCAGGGTACTGCTGCGACATTCCCCAGTCAGACGCAGGGCACAACGCAGGGGACCGGAGAGGAGAGCCTTGTGATGGTGAATCCGCAGTCCAGCTTTGAGAGTGCGTGGGGGAGGGCGGTGGACACCAAGTAGCCTTCCACGCAAGATGGAGCAAGATATACATATAAATCTGTGGCCCAGATCTCGATTGACATTGAATCCGGGCTGTGTGAGCTGAGCTATGACGTTTATAATGATATTAACGGGGTATAAAGTCGATGAATGGGTAAGGTAAAGCCAAACGAGGAGCTGGAAATATAGGTATCATTGTATCATCTATGGTCAAGAGATGGATGGTCCATCTCGAATCTGTACCAACAACACTGGGGCTAACCTAGAATAAGAGACGGGCAGCTCCATCCGTTCCTTTGATCTATTTTCGCCCGATTCGCGTTTCTCCTGGCTCTTTCGTCGTTGTTGTGGAGGGGTCGCCCGGTCATCCCAGGACGTCCTTTTTGGTCTATGGCTGTAAGGGGCTCTTTTTTTTTCAACATACGTTCTCGGTGTGAGGCAAATACTTTGTCTCGAGACGTTTGAACTATGTTGACCGCCTGGCACTTTCTCGTCCCCGATAATTGATTCTCACTGGGGAAGGTTTCCCAGAATGAGAGCCGTTCACGCGTGTTGGTCTTTGGTTTGTATGTCTTTTTCCTGCTCCTGAACGGCAAACGGCTCCTTCACATCAGGCCCCTGACGAATTGATCCAGACCCAGTTCGAAAAGCTCGTTCTTGACGCCTTCGCCGTCCTTGTGTTCGGCCGGTGCCAAGGGGTTCTTCACGACTATGAAAGGTCAGTACATCCATCGTTCATTCCCAAAAAGAGAAACATTCCGTCCTTGGCGAAGGGACAACAGAACATACCGTATTCAACCCAGAGGTTAATATAAATCTGATGCAGCACATTCCGCATACTCAGCGTCGCCGTATCAGTGAGCATGACGAAGCGCAGGTTGGAGGGCGTCTCGTAGTAGTGGAGCTTGTAGGCCGAGGTGCGGTAGCTGATGAAGGCGTCGTCGTCCCCGCCGAGCTTGCGGACCATGTTGCGGAGGGAGAATACCGTGCCGAATATGAGTTTGGCGTCGTCCTTGGCCGAGTTAACTTGGCTGCGGCGGCCGAGCTGCTGGGATGGCGGTGGTGGTGGTGCGGCGCCTGTGCCGGCGGAGGAGGGAGGTTGTTGGGAAGGGGGCCGTTCGGCAGGGAGCCAGGTTTTTGAGTAGATGCATTCTGTGTGGCGGTCGAAGATGTAGAAGGAGTAGACGACCATGTTGGGCTAGGGGGTCGGCCGCGGCGGGCGCGCGGGGGAGGTGGCCGTGTTTGCGCCGGGTCTTTCGGTGTTGCTGTCGATAGTCGGCGGCGAGACGAAGCGGAAAGGGATGGGTGAATGGTGGTTTACGGGCGCATGCCGTGGGGATGCGTAGGGTATGTAGATTGGGAATCGTTTCAATCTCTCGGGAACGCGGTGTCGGATCCGATCGTATTCGAGGTCGTCGGGGTAGTCGCTGGTTATCGGTATTATTGTGTATCACGGGTTTTGAATGTGCAAAGTCGCAAGAAGCTCATGAAGACAAGGTATCCGTAGCTCGGGCGGGACGATTGAGTGACCGGTCGTTCAGTGGCCCCAGCCCTGAAATGCGGCTACCGTTGCTTGTGTCGGTCGGTAGGTACCTCGGTGGACCTTTGAAATTGCAAGTGTGAGCTGGAGCTGGTCCGATTGCGCATGGTACCGCAGGCCCACGGGTATGTAATACCTATTGGTACTGGCAGGGGGTGTCACTCTGCCTTGTGGTGGACCCCCCGGACGGAACGTAATTCTTTGGCGCAACGACTGCAAGGAGGGGTTCGGAGCTGGCCCTACGAGGGGAGCACACTAGTCAGCCCATGATGGGAATTCTACCATGCGCCCAATGACAACGGGCAAAGAAGCTGGGCATGGATATGAGGAGCCGTGAAAATGGATAAGACGGAACCTAGGCTTTTCGTAGGGCGCTGAGAAACTGGAGATTGCGAGGTGATCCTTGGAAAGGAAAAGACCTGAGAGACGTGGGGGCTGGAAGGGGGCACACTTTGAACCTGAAGAGCTGAATGAGAAACGCCTATTCTTTTCCCACCTTCTTTTCTACCGTACTATGTATATCTGTACTTCTCTCTTCCCACCACCCCCCGGCCCAGTTTCCTCTCGGTCGGGTTTTAAAGCTCAGCTGTCGTCTCGTTTTCGCGAATCCTAGTGCCCTTGCTTATTATTTCCTTTCTTTTGACGTCGCTTTCGGTTTCCTCACCTCACACACGCGCGCCTCGAGGTTCAAAACGTTGACAGCTCCATCGCTCGCTCGTCCGGTCGTTCGCGCCTGTCCGTCATATCTTAGATTGTCCTACGTCTGAGTGTGTGCTCGTGTATCCGTACCTCGGCCGTTATTAATAGCAAAACTCCGAATGAGCAAAGCAGAGCATTGCAGCTAGCTCTGTCGCTCTCACTCTCACCCCACCTCACTCGCACGTCTCCAACATTGCTTCTCCAACATCACGTCAAGCTTACAACACAACCCTCCCATCTACAACTCTCAGTCTCAGCCTCGCGCAAGGCAAAAACCATGACGGAACCCGGCGAACCTCAGAGCCCGCCGACGACGGCCATGGCCTCAACGACCCTCGCTACCTCAAGCATGGCCTCGCCCACCATCGCGGTAGGGTTCCACGGCGAAGGGCCCGCCGAGACTCGTCCGCCGCTCGCCGCCCCCATGTACGTTAGTTCACTGCACTTACTCCGTAAATCACCTTGCTTCTCTGCGCTGCGCTGCAACTTTGCACTGCCTCCCCCGCGCGCTCCACCACTGCGCGCCGAGCTACACTCTAACCACCTGCTCGCGCTGCGCGGTACAGATCCGATTCGGCTGCCCAACCATCAAAGTTCCAGAGTCCCATGCGGCATCACCGCCGAACTCCTTCAGCTCATCGTGAAGTCAAGGTGCGTGTTCTTTGTTTCGCCAAGCTCCGTTGAAAACCCAGCTCTCGATCTGCCCCGCTGTAGCTGGTTGTGCTTGGTGGGGGCGGGGTAGCTGCGATGACGACGAACCCGGGCATTGAGCACCAGATTCAGAGAAACTCACCGAGAAACTGCTACAGGAAACGCTCAACGCTGTGACGGAATACGGCACCGAAGCTCAGGATGGCTCAAGTCACCACCGCATCAACCAGTACATCATTAAGGAGGAAATTGGCCGGGGCTCTTACGGTGCCGTCCACCTCGCGACGGACCAATTTGGCACTGAATATGTATGGGCCTCCTAAGCTTGCAAAGTGATGATGACCCCCATGCTCACGTCCACCTGTAGGCCGTCAAAGAGTTCTCTAAAGTTCGGCTCCGTAAACGCGCGCAGTCCAACATCTTGCGGCAGGGCGCTCGCCGACCCCAGCGCTTCGCTCCCCGTGTTAGTCTTAACGCGCCGCTATCGCCTCATTTTGGCGAGGAGGGCAATGCTGGTTGGAACGTCAACGATGCTCTGTTCTTTATTAGAGAGGAGATTGCCATCATGAAGAAGCTAAACCACCCAAACCTGGTCCAGCTGATTGAAGTGTTGGACGACCCGGAAGAGGACTCTCTGTACATGGTCCTCGAAATGTGCAAAAAGGGAGTCGTAATGAAGGTTGGCCTCAACGAGAAGGCGAAGCCGTACGCTGAAGATTCGTGTCGTTATTGGTTCCGAGACTTGATTCTAGGCATCGAATACTGTAAGTTGGCTACCACATGGGCCCTGTCCAGCCTGACTGACACCGTCTAGTACATGAGCAAGGCGTTATCCACCGGGATATCAAGCCGGACAACCTTCTCCTTACCAATGACGATGTGCTCAAGATTGTGGACTTCGGCGTCTCCGAGATGTTCGAGAAGCCGGGCGACCCCATGAAAACGGCTAAATCGGCAGGGTCTCCGGCGTTCCTTGCCCCCGAGCTTTGCGTGGTAAGGCATGGCGATGTGGATGGCAAGGCTACGGATATCTGGTCCATGGGCATATCGCTGTACTGTCTACGATATGGCAAAATTCCATTCGAGCAAGAGGGCGTGCTTGAAATGTACGAAGCCATCAAGACAGACTCCCCTGAGCTACCCGAGGATGAGAACCCCGACTTTGTGGACCTTATCAGCAGGATTTTGGAAAAGGACCCCCAGAAACGTATCAAGATGCACGAGTTGCGGGTGAGTACTGGTTCTTCTTCCGCGACTGCTGGGCTTTCTTGCTGATCATGAACCAGGAACATCCGTGGGTCACGAAACAAGGGACAGATGCTTTGCTTTCAAAGGAAGAAAACTGCTCGAACACCGTGGAGCCCCCAAACGAGCTTGAGCTCAACCGCGCCTTTACGCGGAAGATGAACCATCTCCTTTGCGTGGTGAGCAGCGTACCTCACGGTTCTTGCCGCGATATAAAGAAACTAACAGCTACGACAGATGAAAGCAATCCACAAGTTCAAGAACATTCTCACGAGGCAAAGAAACGCCAAATCACGCGAAGGCTCCCAATCGGACTCTCCCCGCTTGGGCGCGCTGCATGAGGACATCGAAGCCCTCCTCTCAAAACGCCGCGAGTTCCTCAAGAAGAATAGCCTCGCTGACGTCACCAAGACCGCACCCCCCGAGAGGTCCGACTCGGAACCCCGCATCCTCGGCATCGGCATCGGGTCCCGGGACGAGTTCGACAAGGACGAGCCCTCGGCCGGCGCCGTGGCCGAGTCGCCGACCAACGTCGACTTCAATATCTACGACAAGGCGTACGAGGCCGAGGTGGAGCGTATCATGAGGAAGCAGACGCGTCAGAAGACCATGTACCTAACGCGCTTCGTTAAAGACCGCGAGCATTACAAGGAGGTAGCCAACGTCGTGGAGGGCACGTCGGCGGGCGTCACGCCCGTGGGGACGCCAAAGACCGACACGAACCTGGCTGCTTCCAAGGGCCGGTTCGCTGATTTGGTTCATAGCATGACTGGTGCTTCGAAAGCCAAGACTGGGGAGGAGAAGGAGGAGAGTTGAGAATGGGGCGCAGTGTGAGGGATTGAGGAGACACACGGCCCGGCGTTTTACGGACAGGCATGGAAACAGCTTTTATTACCTGGATAATTTTCCTTTTGAATATGACACCTGTTCGTGGCAATCATGAGAGAAAGAGTTCGTTTTCTTTTTTGATACCTGAAGGCTGGTTATCATGGTTTAATCAAGAGCTGTCTTTGGAGACTGGGTATGCAAGCATGTTAGCCCTCTCAATCCATACGGTATGCCGTGTCACATATCATTTGTTCTCGATGGACTGCCACCAACAACCAGATGCCGTCAACTCTTTGCAGAGTCAAAGTCTACAGACCCGACACGTCACCTTTTTCTCTCTTCGTTATTGACGATGTACAATTTACTTCTACCCGCCATCATGGACCACCCCTCCATTACCTTAGATGATTATGTGTTTTCACGTGATATAGCCAAAATGATAGGGTGCCTTCTCCAGGGTGGCTGTACTTCCTGGGTATATAGGCCAACTGCCGTTCGTTTGAACATCGCCTGGGTAGGCACTCTCGATCTTGATCCCTTTCCAGATACTCCCTCAATCTCGAACCCGTCCAGCCCATCTCAAACAACATGTCGTCCTGCACAGTCTGTAAAAGAGGACCGCCCCAGATCACCCTAAGAAACTGCGCAAAGTGCTCCACAATACCATACTGCTCCCGCGACTGTCAAAAAGCCGACTAGAAATCCCACAAAAAGACCTGCGGCCGTACCGACGCCTCCGCACGACCCCGCGCCGGCGGTCCTACCGGCGCCGGTGGCGACCCCACATCCACCGGCACCGCGCTATCCCCGCCAAAGGGCCTAGACCAACCCATCAACCGGCCCTTTACAAAGCTGGACAACGGCACCTGGCTCCACGACCGGCCCGAGGCGGACGTCTACCGCCTCCTTGTTGACGCCTATCGGCTGCGCGTCGAGGACTAGTTTAATATTGACGGGGACGCGGTCGAGGACAGCATCTACGGCGGCGCGGAGGACGGACTGGAAGGGTTCCGGCGGGTTATGAAGAAAGCTGCGAAGCGGAAGGGGCTGTTGCCCGCTTGGTGGTGTCCCAAGAAGCAGGCGGCGTGCGAGCGCTTGGACGGGGCGGAGGGGGATGATGGAGATGATGATAATGATGATTATTATTATGACTTGGGGTCCGCTGTCGAGAAGGCTGATATTATTGAGCGGTATGGCAACCCGCGGTTCCCGATACAGCTGCGTATATTTGCCGAGGCGGTGAATTTGAGGGGTCCTGGTGGGCAGGATGGTTCGTCGATGAGGAAGATGATGGCTTCGATGGAGGGCGGGGCGTATGGGTCTGCGGCGATGAGATCGACTATTGATACCACTACGATGAACAGGTCGGATTTTAGGTCGTGAGGATGGGAGGTCCTATTGCCCATAAGGCGGTGGGCCACTGACGCGGAAATCCTCTATTCAGCCCATGGGGGACCTCCGCGGATACTTCTTCGGCGGGTGTGACGTCTCACACTCGGAGACTCTGCATGCCCTTGCTCTAGATGGTTTTATATGAGGACCATGGGTCCTTGTGGTACCATGGGTCTTGAGGAAGTACCTCTTCAGCTCTTGATGCATTTATCTGTCTCGTTTGGCTATATCACAGACGCCTTTTTACTGACTCGAATGGACGTTATTGACACTGAATTGTACAAGTCTATCGGCAACGTCGAAGCTAGGAATCTAAACTTGAAGATAGTCATCGCGGTGTGAGGTTGGACATTCAGCGTTCCCGGCCCGTGGCAGAAGGTCTTCCCTTCATGGCATCGAACAAGGAATTCGCAGTCTCATAGGCTGACTAGATTGTTATCTGAAAATGGCTACAACAGAGTTGATAAGTCCAGCTATTTGATGCAATATTCAGCCTTCAACCAACGAATGAATGACCAGACTTCGGCGGACACCTTGTTTTATTGCGAGATGAAATGGGGGTCCGATATAAAGAATCTTACTGTACAACCAGATCACGGAATACTGCTCAAGAATTTATGGACTGGGAGTGTCCTGGCGCCGACGGCTAAGGTGATTTGCAAGGTTATAGCGAGCACTATAGCACGCTTCTTAAAGGCTGGAGCTCCTCGCAGCCATCAAAGCGAGCGGTAAAGACTAGATCGTGGCATTCATGACCCCATCATCATACTGCTCTCGTCGACACTTTGACCCGACAGGGATGGAAGTCCAGGTCAATGGAATCAACCTGGTGTCTTACGATTTCTATGGCGCTTGGGACAGTAGCAACCCCATGGAATACCCAAATTCTATCACACACGAACTTAGTTGAATTTGGCGACGCTCTCGATCTGGCAAGATCCAGGTATAGCCTTGTCAACATAGGCGTTGAACCTGATGTGGGAGAGGTAGATCCGAACAAGACAGGCTCTGGATTCATGCTCATGACGGGCGATTCTGATGCTAAAGCTTCATTGAAGAAATGGAACGACAACTCCAGTCGCCTCATGTTGTTCATCTGCCCAGACAAGCTGAATGACTCCAGGAAACCACTGAGTGAGTTACAGCCTTCCAAAGCCAATTCTCTGTTCAGATCAAAGTATATCCGTTGGTTTCCCAATCAAGGACGTCATATCTAACGCCTTCACTCTGACTTTCGATTTCGACCTTACACTTGCTCGAAGAGACACCACCAACAACAAGGTCAGAGCTGACTGTTACAACATTAGAGGATACTTGAATGCTGCTGTGAAATCTCCCGGAACTAAAGATAGCATTTCCAAAAGATTTCATGTTCCTGTGGCGTCGCAATGGCGGGACATGTTCAACGACAAAGTGGGAACGGACGTGTACGTAGATGCGTTTGAGATCAAGGAAAAGCTGCAGTGGGCCCTGCTTCTGGAACTCAGTCGATGGTCCTCCTGTAGATGGGAAGGAATACGACCAAGTACTGACAGATCATGTGCAAGGCACCATTGACGCACAATAATATTAGGACACTCCATGGTTGTGAGTTCTGGCCTGACAAGCACGAGACAAAATTTGGCGGGTCCTTGCTGTTTCAACGAACAGAACTAGAGGACGAATCACTCAATGTAAGCCAGGTCGGCAGGTTCCTTTCTGTTACTGGTTTAACAGACTCAACACTCAGCGTTGGTGGTATTGGAGAAGTAGACCTGGGCACGACCAACAAAGGCAATCCAGCCTCGACCAACGCGAAAACGGTAAAACTCCGAGAGACGCCAGTGAACGTGGGTGACGGTGGCACCAACAATGATCTATTTATGTGCTCCACGATCAACTACTCAGTTGGCCCTTCTCACGATGTGCATGGGGAGAGGCACGACTCCCAGCGGCGCCTACTTCGATGGAAAAGCCCAATACGCGCGTCATCTCTAATTTTGGGAACTTCAACGCCTAATTTCCGGGGACCAGAGACGATCAAATACGAATCAATGAACAGAGCCGGTCAAAGAGCAGGATATCCATTGCAGATGACAACGTTCTATACGTGACTGTCAGCCTCGACAGGCGGGTAAGCATAGGTGGCGTTTACGAAGTTTGCTACGAAAATCAAGTTCTGGTTCCTATAGTATGGTCCTGGCATGATTTTTGCAACAGAGCTTCCGACTGACTGACTGACATTGAAATCTCCAGATTGCTGTGAACTATGGCACGATGACAGAGTTCACCTTCATTAACGGAAGAGAGTCTCATTCTGGGAAGCCCCCTATGACAAAGTCCATGAGATCCACGTTCTTGACTTGCATTTGCAAACAACAGGCACCTGAGGCCATTGGTTATCGGAGAAGATTAAGCCGGATACATACAACTAACATGGCACATTGATGGCCGCCAGCAAATATAATCATTATATAGCACATCCAGCCGCTGCGCACTCATCAGCCATTGGAACTATTGCGAGGTTGTTTTCTAATCCATGGTTCAGATTCTTTTCGACGCACACATGAGAGAGAGACTTTCAATGGCCAAAAGACTACTTGCTCCAGTGTGAAGGACGACGAGATACGCTCAGATTGTACGCCTACGATCTACCCTTCAGACAACTGGGTGACGCCCACTGATCCAATGGTAGGAAGATCTGGCAGCTAGTATTACTGGGGTGCACTATTTGTTCTCCCATTGATCGAAGGAACTCATCAGTGGCTGCAGTCACTCCGAATTTTTTCAAGCAACAACTTAAACTGATCAGAGCTCAACCCGGGCAATTGAGTGACCAACGCCCAACACGAACCCCTCCCACGGAACGCCTACAGCCTTGACTCATTGGTGTCATTTACTTTTGAGGAAACGATGAAGTTCTCACCGTGGCTGACTTTGACCCGAAACAACGCCACATCTTTCAGCGGCATGGGTCAAGACCTTGCCCGCAGTCTAAAACGGGTCATGTTGTTGACCTCGAGGCTCGAGGTTTTCCTGCTTATAGCAATGACGAACATACCAGCCGGACCTGATGCGGCTGAGACGGACAGAATGTACAGCACCTCACCTCACTCAAGAGACAACTCACAATGTCTCAACACACCACCCACAAACGAACCCCCCCACCCCTTCATCTTTCCCAAATTCCCAAGGTCTCACCTCAGCTCCAGCCGAGTTCAAGGCAGACTGACAGCCCCCTCTGAACGAGTCGTTCGTCCGCTGTTACACATTGTAGAGAAACACTGCATGTTCCTGGCCCTCATTCGTCATATCTGTCTACTGGAGTTCCAAGAGGAATCCGCATTCACCCGAAAGAAACATCACCAAAAGACGACGAGTGAGAGTCGAGGCTCACAGGAGACGGGATCCAGAGACAATGTCAAAACAGGCTAAGCTTTAGCCGAGCCCAACGAGCAAACACCCTCTGTTCTCTCTTACATGGCGCTGTTCATTACCATATGAGAACTGATATAAAAGTTCGACAAGCGCGTTATATCTGAAAGATGGAGCAACCCATTCAAACGTGACCGCCGGTTCACAACCCCCCTGAAGTAAATATCGGAGTGCCACGTGCTGAGATTGTAGGTATCTAAAGCACCACCGAATAACACAATCTCGATTATAAAGCATCGAAATCTTTCTCTTCATCAACTGGATTCGCCACGGCGGGAAATTTCGTTGCCAAAAGGTGAGCGGAAACGCGACGCAAAATGCTCACCGCTTTCCGCCAGCCACCTCCAAAACACCCCCTGACCGGAGCGGCCAGCGGCTTGCGACGGTCCACCGTTTTACTTCTCATTCTCTGGTTCGACAAGATAAGAAATGGCAAGGGGGGGACGAGAAATAACGACCACAGGCGCGTGAGATACGGAGCTGTACATGATCGCAATAGGGCTGACTAGTGATTCCCGATGAACACCTCAGGTACCCGTGGGGTTGCTGCGGGCACTAAGATGGGGGGGAAGGGAAGGGATGGGATTTTGGGATGCTTGGGATGCAATCGTCGAGTTGCACCCGACGTTGTTTGAATACCTAGATAGCCAAATGATTGCGAGAGTGAGACCGTCTAAGAGCCAATCCCGCCAGATAGCTCCATCGAGACGCGACGACTGGGGGGTTTAATACAGTAGGACAAATGACATGCTTCCTCCCCCCCTCCTCCAGAAGCCTGTCAAAGAAGAGAGAGAGAAAGAGCCAAATCTTGATACCTACCCGTGGTGGTGGCCGGCCGGCCGGCCGGGCACATGCATCGCCACCAGTTCCGGCTGACGTTTCCGCCGGGCGGGCTGGTGCAGAGTGGGAAGGGTGCCGCCGTGCTGGCGTAACACCAGACATCATAGAATGCGCCGAACTGCTGGGTAAGCGAAACGAGCCACTGAGCTGCGAGCTTGTTTGCACGAGGTCGCCCGGGGATAAAGGTGAAGTGAGGTGTGAGGTGAGAGGTGGTGTCTACATCACCGCCAATCCGTCGGCCGGGGGGGGGGGGGGGGGGGGTCAAGAGGATAGACCCGAGGCTACGTACGTACGCTCCGTTGAATCGTACCGTTGGTGAGTGACTTGTCAAACAGATCAACGGCAGTGCTCTTCTTGGGACATCCCGAGAGGCGGATGATTGTCTTTCGCGCCAAAGGAGCGCCTTGCGCGGGGCGAGGGCACATGGGGAAGAGCAACTCGATAGACCAGAAGCCAGTCAGTCATACACTGCACTGAGCCTAGTGAAAAGCACAAACTGGAAAAGTGATTTGTTCTTGGCACCAATACCAGGGCATCCTCCTCGTCCTTCCCCGCGCGGCCTCTACTCGCCCGCCTACGCCCCGAGATGGGTCGATTGTCGTGGTCTGCGGACTTTCGGTTGAGTGTGGAACTCAAGGTTGTCTTTCGGACGGTTTCCAGTTCCCCGAATGGACGGTGCCAAGCCTTTTCCCAGGAAGGAAGCAGTGAATTAACCGCTCGAGGCCGTGGAACCTCTGGCGAGACGGTGAGGGGAAGTAGTCGTCCTTGTGCTGCAGACTGCAGCAGCTACTGCTCATGGGATGAAATGAGAGCTGCAAAGCCAAGCCAAGCAAGCCCAGCCGGGTAGGAGGAGGAGCCTGGGGCAGAGGTCCGCAATTAAGAGGCCGCCAGCTGCAGCTATCCCATGCTTATTGTTCGTCCTGCAGAGTCGTGCAGACACCCCAACTCCAACCTCACATGCCTTTAGGTATACCGTATATGGGAGGCAGGGCCAGCAACAACAACCAAAAGGCTTGGCAGAAATGGGTGTGAAGGGGAGAGACTCCGGGAGAGAGCTCTGAACTCCCGGGGCCACTGACGGTTGGACAGCTTTGCAACTAACATGGCATGGCTGCTTTGCTGCTGTAGCTAGGAGAAAACCAAGGTGATACCCGGCGCCTTTGGTTGAGCTAGTCTGCAGGTCATCTGGAGACTGAAGCAAGCAGAGG